TTTATTTGCCAAATGGGTATAGAAGAATCCCAAGTTTTCGAAATTTCATTGTTTTACAGGTTGAGCCGTGTTGCTCTACTTTTTCATGCCATTTTTTTCTGCTTCTGAAAGCATCTTCAGCGGATGCCTCAAGTTTCTTCCCAAATAGCTTGCGTTTTAACACTGCACAAATGGTCAGCCTTGTCAAGTGTTGACCTGGTTGTGTTTTTGTGAAATCCATTGTAATTTCAGGTTTCATTCGTTCACATTCTATCAACAATTGCCTCCCCCCATGTAGGAAAAAGTACGAAAAATAGTATATTTTAATGTATTTATAATTTTATGTTCATATTATAATTTTATATTATTTATTATTTACTTAATCGATTTTAAGAGAGGCCGACTTTTCGCCTGCCATATCGCAGGCTTCTTCAGGGTAGTCACTACCCTCAATAACAGGCGAAAGGTCGGCCTCAGCAAACGACGCGGTCACCCGGGCAGCCAAGAAGTCACGAACTAGAGCCGCGGAAGCCTACGTGCACAATTGAATTCATGATTTTATTTTTGAATGTTTTTCCTCTTCCTCCTCCAGAAACTCTTCATCCTTTCAGAATTTCTCTTCCTTTCGTCTGTCCATTTTTACCAGGTTGTTGCATTGTTCTTTGCTCGAACTTCACATTCATGATTTTACTCCGGCATTCGTTGCGGTCTTCGAGATTTTTTATGATCTGCTGCATGTCCCTCTGGACCTCCCTTAGCACTCCGTGCTGCATTTACTCTTTGTTATGGTGTCCAGTGGTTTCTTTGTTGTTCTGGTATTCTCCATTCTGTAGATGTGTGTGTAGAACTTAGCTCGACGTTTCCTGATTTCTTCGGTTATTGTGCTGGTTTTTTGATAGAGTTCATTCTGAGGTCTCTTCATCCAAATGCCGTTTTTGTTGATCTTCCTAAGAAATTTTCGTTCCTGTTTTTCTATTTCCGTAATTTAAAAGTGACCGCCAATTACCATTGTTTCAGCAGCGTATGTTGCTTCTGGAAGAATCGCAGTTTTATAATGTTTCAATTTTGCGTCTGTCGAAATGCACTTCCTGTTGTAGAAGGCCCATGTTAATTTATATGGCTTTTGCAGCTTGCTGAGCCCTTGTTCATTGCACAGAACAATAAAGGATGTTCATTGGCGATTCTGTTTAGTCCTAATGACTGTATAGTTTCGCCAAGATACTCATATTTAAAGTTGACTGGCTTGTGTGACGTTACCCTGTTTCGTGATTAGCGGGGACTTATTTTCTGGCCGTCTTTCCATACACTGTTTTCTTTTCTTTTCTTTTTTTTCCCTTATGAAATTTGCAATCCAGTTTTCTGTGCAATTTCATGTAATTTTTCAACCTTGTGAATTGCTCCTGTTGTTTGTGATACCAATTTGGATACCTTTTTACATGAGGTTCCCATTCTCTGATGATTTTTTCTTGAACAATATTGAAAAGAATCGGAGATAGTCCATCCCCCTGCCGTACTCCCGTTCTAATTTCAAAGGGTTCCGATATTTCGCCCATAAATTTCACTTTGGACGTTGTTTTTGTGAGTGTCTGTTTTATGATTTTCCGAGTCTTTCGGTCGATTCCGAATTCTTCCTTGGTTTTAAAGAGGATTTCGCGGTCTATTGAGTCATAGGCTTTCCTTAATCGATGAATGTAATTACTGTATTCCGACATCTCCTCATTTGTAGTATCGTCCTTAGGCTCCAGATCTGTTCCACACATGATCGCCCTTTTCTGAATCCGGCGTGGTATTCACCAAGTAGCGGATTTGCCTAGGGTTCTATTCTGTTTAGAAGTGCTTTGGAGAGGATTTTGTATGCCACTGGGAGCAGGGAGATGCCTGTGTAGTTGCTGATGTCAGTCTTATCACCCTTTTTATGTAACGGGAGGATAACGGAATAATTTTGTATTTATATTATAATTTTATATTTTATCCTTTTGAATTTATTAATATAATACAAATTTGTATGTATATATGTAACTAAGTACATATTTGTATGTACTCGATATGTATTTAAGTATATGTTTTATATTAAAATTACGCTGGAGCCCCCCCCCCTCCGCCGGAGCAGATCTGAAATTCCGCCGCTGGTCAGCACTATTAACTTTCAGTGAGATCGGATAACTCAAGATAATTTATAAGCCCCACTACTAATAGCTTAATACTAAGTTCACTACCTTTCTGAACATTCTTCAATCTCTAATACTAAAATATGTTCGAGTGTTGCAAATCAAGCTACGACCACTCTCGAGGAAAATACTTCTCTTCGCCTTTTCATTTTCTAGAACATTCGCTTTCCCAAGGATCTGGCTCAGATAAAGTGTCAACAAATAGTTACTAAACAACTTTCCGTTTTGTAGGTCCGCTTCCTTGGCAACTTCTTATTTCAGTATTTAGCTTGGTTCGTAAATAATCTTAATAGCTTGTGACATAAAGAACTTTGCGAATACGATCAGCGTCTAACAGTTTTTCTTTCATCTTCAACGCAATTTCTTCCATCTTCAAAGTCCCGGCCAACCTTCCCAGGACACTGCGATCCGCAGAGCCGCAAGACGGCGACACGTCGTCCTGCGCTCTATAACACGCGCGGGTCTGATAAGCAAAGTGGTTCGTACAAACTCACCATGAGGCACATCGTGGACCTGCGTTTCATTTTGCGACTAGCCATGGGGAACATATTTCCAACATGCGACTGGCTAAATAGACGATTGTCGGTTATGAGAGGTTTACTTAGTATTTTCATAGTTGTTGGTAGATCGCAGCATTGACGCCGTCACGTGATAAGCGACATCGTTCGGGGGCTACCCGCGAACTTCCGAAACGGAACGAGAATTTACGAATGATTGACGATAATTAGAAAATTTAACCAATGGCAGCCAAAACTCGAATCTCGTGCGTTGTGTATGAGAAGGTATGGCTGGTCTGGCGGCCTTACTCTGGCCTGCTCTAGTGCTGGCCGCCGGGTATGAACAATTAGCGATGGGAGAATTTGACAATGAAGAAAACATGTGCAGATTGCACTTCTCTCGTATACGTTGCCTGCAGCTTTTAATTTTTTTTACATTTTTTTACATAAAATAAATAGCTTATTTCCTGATACTCCATAACAGCACGTAGTACGCTACATTATATCTCCTAATCATGATAATCAGGGACTTCGATATTTTAACTTGGCTGAAAACTTTTACCATGGGTATAATCAATAACCTTTCCTCAGGCACGACATCTTGTCAAAATTGCGCGCAATCGTTGGTATGGTTCTACGTACTATGTTCTAGTAAGTTAAAGTAACTGATATTGCTTAAAGGTAGAAGTGTTGGTGGGTTGGGCGAAATTTAATGCAAGTGTGATTTTAGGGTTAAAAGTAATAATCATTGACTCCCAAAAAGTGCAGTCACATGTGAAACATTTCAAGCCTTGTATTTTGATTTCATAATACAAAGAAGACTGCTGTTAATATCCTTTCCCATATAATCAATACCTACATCTTTTATAAATGTATGGAAATCAATATCTGCTAGAAACTCTCATTGCATTGTCCTGCAGAGGGCCTGGCATTTGTTTACTCTTCAGTGCCTAGCAACACCTCATTTTGAAGTGCTTCTTTTAATATGTGTTTTATACTTTTACATGAATATTTCTCATAGCTTGCAACAGATTTGTTGAATTGCAATTTAACCGTCTGATTTACATTTTTAAAGAAATATTAAAATCACAAAATTCATTTTCTTGAAAGCAACATGATAACCTTTTTGCAATATTTGGCATGAGTCATTCACTATTCAAAAATTGTGACAGAATATACAAAAATGGATGAAAACAATGTTCCAGAAAATGTGACAGAGGGATTGAAAATTGTAAATCAAACAAACATGAAAATATTAGAAAATGAAGAATCTTCTACAAGCTTGCAACCAAAGTTACTACAAAATGCTTCTGAACCAAGCACAAATTTTAAACAGTCAAAGTATAAAGATGATAAATACGCACAGCATAAAGATCTTATGAACTGCATAGCATTTGAGAAATGTGATGATTCTAGAAGAGGCAATGAAGCTTGGAATGAAACCAGATACAGTGATGATTTTGATTCATTAAGTAGTGATACAACATCTGACATAACTGATGTAAGCCCACAACCATTGAGCCCACCTCTCTCCTCCAGTGGTTGTTCATCCATGGCGAAAGTAGAAAAGGGATTGGATGGTGGGAAACGGAATACTGAGAGAAAGATGTCTATTAGAGAACAAGCTAATAATAAACAAGCTACATCCAAGGCAGTTCAACTCACAGGCAATAATGACAATATGAAAAAAGAGGAAGGTGAACAAGCTTTAAAGTTCCTAAAAGATGCTTTAAATAGTTTAGATTGTGGTAGTTCTGTTAAAACAAATTCATCTGCAGGAAAACACATCTTTCCAAGACAGAGAAATATGACATTTAATAGAGAACAGATGAGAACAATTGACAGAGAAAATATGATATTGTTACGGAAAATTCAATGCTCGCGTAGGAGGCCAATAATAGAGAATACTACAACAGTGAATACTCGAATTTCCAGCTCAGCAATAAATAGACAGCGACAGCAAAGAAAAATTGAATTTGAAAATTCAGTAAGTATTTGCATTTCAAGTTGTAATCACATGCTTAAGTAAATTGTGACCAAGTATTATATATTTCTCATTAATTACTTTTGCAGATTAATATTACACATTTTTAGTGTATTATTAATAATAATAAAAAAAGATTTTCTACTTCTAATCTAATAGTGAGCATAAATTGAACACCTTCAGCATTATATAATGTTTGTGGATAACTTGTTTGTAGATACTTCTGCAGAAAATACAACGTGTTAAAGGCACAACAAACACAATGACTGGACTGAGAAGATTCTAATATCAGAAGTACTAAACTATTTGCAGAGAAATTAAAAATTTCAGAATTCTTGTACAGTGTGTCAGTAAAGTATATATTTTATTAGCAATAATGCCAGTTGTACAAAACTTGTACATAATTTCTCAGGTAATGGGTGTTCAATTTTAAAGACAAATTAAAGTATTTTTCTAGTATTAAAAGATTAATTTGCACAATTTAGTACACTTGCACTTGAGCACACTACAATATCTTGGAGTGATATTTATACAACTCAATTGTGAATATAATGGAATTTTCCCTCATTCCTCCCAGATATAAAGAATTGTATTGTTAAGTTTCAGAACAATAACAGTATTTTGACCAATTTGTGATAATTACAGAGTTTATATTTGCCTGAATACCAAAATATTATAATTAGTCTCTATTTATCAAATGAAATAAAACTTGTATAAGAAATAAAATGTACACAATTTTTCAAATAAGTTGTTTCAATGTGACTTCTGGATAAAAATATAACACTGTTGAACTCATACAAAGGTATATGCTGCAATTTTAATACAGCGGATCCTCTTATCAAGTACATTACTAAGAAAATATAAAATTATTTGTTGTAATTATATTCAACAAATTTTTTAATGCACCTCTTCTTAAATAATGACATTGTTAATATAAAATATTTTATTCTTTTGATGTGACATTTTTCATTAGCAGTTCTTCAGCAGCTGGCCTTGAAGCAGTCCTACTACACACAGCCAAAAATCATGGATTTTAAACCCATGGAAGGCATGGATGTTTACATTGTTGTGACATGGTTGGCTTTCTAATACCACCAGGATCCCTCTGAACATCATCCCATCCATAATTATTTGTCTATCACATCATTTACTCTCCCATCTTTCATACAGTGGAAGGCAAACGCATATCACTAGTGATGACATAGTTGCAAACTTCCTTAACTAGCATAAGAAATGAGTATGACATCATTGTCATCAGTTATTCAGGAACATGCAATTTGTAGCATGCCACATTTTCATAAATTATCAATAATTCTGTTCTTAAATGCTCATGGTACTTCTATTGATTACGCCAAGTTAGAATTATGGTAGTTGACTAGTTTACTGATATTAAAGGACCTGATCAATGTGCTGTTTCTCTCGTCGCAAACTTAAATCAGTTAAAGCCCCAGGTCATTTTGTAGGCCTATATTTCATCACATTTATCATTTCAAAAATTCCCATCTCTTTATACACAGTTTGGAAACACACAAAATAATTCAATAACATTCTTTCAGATACATTTAATTTTGTGGTTAGACTTTATTTCTGGCACACATACTTGCAAAAAGATTGTGTCTGCTGGAAAAGGAAACTAAACTTAACTACCCTAAAATGTATTAAGATAATACTCACTTTAAGGAGCCAACATCATTTCAATAAATTAAAAGAAAATTGCTTTTGAACTACTTAAGTTAAAATTAGTAGTTTTTTCAAATATCTTAGGAAAAGAAATATAATTACAGAACATAGGATCTGAAACCTAAAGAATCTTTTTTAAAGAGATGAAAACCATGCTACTAAATGAACCAATATTTGTGAAGGATATTAAAGAACATACATAAATAAGAACAAAATTATATTTTGGGGACCACTGAACTCAAGTACAGAATTAAAATAGCCTTTTGATAGCTCCCAGCCATAATAATTTGACAACATTGTCAAATTACTACTTACAGTTAAAGTAGGATGACCACTACACCAGATGATTCTGAATCATAGGTGCTCAGGGAGCCCCCAAATGTTATAACTGATGTGATGTGGTATACGGAAGATCTTGGAATATTCCCAGCATTTCACTGGAGAAAAAAGCACTACAAAAAGTTAACTCGGAGAACAGAACTCAATCTCAAATGAACTTCCAAAAACCATACATTTCCATTCTATACTTGACCTAGTAATTTATTGAATATCATTGCTAATTAGCAAATATTGCTACTCAATTTTTTATTCAATCTTTTGACACTAACCTTTCAAACAAAAAGTTTATTTAAAAAATGAATAATAAATATCTAGTGGCCTGCAGCAACAAGTCTGCTGAATTTTTCATAGTTTCTGGATATTATAAGAAACCATGGACACCTCTTACGAGACTGCAGAGATATCTTTCAGTTTTTGCATTTATTGAAAATTAGTAGTACAGGTAATATAGAAATAATGCAGCATCTCAAACAATCCGTGTTTGAATTCAACAAAAATGAAAACTCGTAGAAATGTTTTCCCCTACATATATAAAACTGACAAACAAGTTACAAGGTATGTCCACATCAGTGCTACATTTATAAGTATTTCATTTCAATCCTGTGTACTTTGACAATACTTTGGGAGGAAACAACTGCAATCGAGAATTTATGGTGCAATGAAGACAATGGTCATCTACCTGCATGACTGCATTTTCAAAAAACTGTTTCTCATGCTTACAACATAAATATTTAGTACCAAAATTTCCAAATTTTCAGAAGTTTCAATTTTGGAAAATAATCAATGGATTTCTATTATTTATTGCCAAGGAGAAACTACAATAATTGTTAAGCATATTTTATGTAGATAATGCAATATTTAATTGCAGAGAATGTTACCCATAATGTTCTCATTTCATATGAATTCAGCAATAGAACAAGGAAATAGCTATAGAAATTAATTTTCTTTTTGTGTCCATGTACTTATCTTAATTGCTTCTAAAAGTATATTTTTTTACGAGCAATAGAGATTTTAGAATTATTAGTAAGGTTTGCGGTTGGGAAATATGTCTTAGATAATTTCAGAATATTATTAGATATTATAATGCTTCTCAATGAGGCATCGGAAATTCACTGTTAGGAAGGTTTATTCCTGAATTCCATTTGAATAAAAAAACTCAACTAATAGACTGCACAATTTGTTTAAATAGAAAAAAACTGTTTAACCCTACAATGCTCAAGAGTGTCATTTTAACATTGACATCTTATTTAGTAATATAATTTTAGTTTTTGTCTTGAAATTACAATCAATTACATAACTTTTTCACTTTATTAGGTTTAAGAATTATTTAAACATTAAAATTTCAATGGTTATTCTGCATTTTATCTATTCTCCTATAAGTGTTATTTTGACACAACAATTCATCTCGGGGCTGTACCATATTTTTGCTAGTTCCACCAATCACTTTTACCTGTTACAGAATTTGCGTGAGATTCTACAATTCTGTTTTATTTTTCATCCACTTCTCGTTTCAACAAAAGTGCAACTCATTTTACATCACGCATTTGTTTCTAAGTTGATTCAGATGTCTCTTTTCTTTTGAGGGAAGTGTTAGATTAACCTAGTTGTAATAAATTGTATTCTTACATTGGCAGGTTTCTAAAATTGTGTAACAGAGCTGCTGTGATTCTTCAGCTCTACGGAGATATTGAGAATGATCTTTCACAAGTACCTGAAGAAAATGACAAATGTAGGATGATAAAGATGGACTCAGTGACGAGTACAAAGTACTAAGGCTGTGGGTGGGCACACGAGCATAACAGACGTTAAAACGTCTGCATTTTCACATAAGTTACTAAACAGGCAGAGCACTACAGATACCCAGTGCCCTCGTGCGCCATGCCCCATTCATTTCTGTTACTGTTAACTCTGCAATGAATGCATTTTTAAAGTGTGTTAATGTGCACCCGTCAGTCTTTGGCCTAATTACAACTTTAGATTTTGGACTTTGGTTCTGTGTACATAAAACATTTCCACTCACAATAACTTTTCAACTGATTGTTCAAGTAATTTCTTTTCTGAACTTCTTTTGCTAAGTTTTCAAATAATTTTGAGTCAAATTGTGATAATTTTCAAGAAACATGAACAAGATATTCTCAAAAACTGCTCCAATTTTTTTTTCTTTTAACAATTTTTTGGAAGAATAAGAGCATAATAACTGCTATTTTAATTAACATTTTGAATTTTCAAAATTTAAAACATATGTATTCTTTTGTAAATCATCTGCGTTTTGTTTGATGAAGGAAGCATTTCAACACATGGCAGAAGAATTGGTAAGATGCAATTTGTTTATAATATTACATAATCATTACCAATATTTTGAGAAGGTGCACACTAATTTTAATTCTATGAAAATTAATTCCATCCATTCCATTAATTAATTCCATGAAAAAATGTTGATGAACATGAAATGTGATGTTGATGAACAAAAAATATTCATGTTGATTAACATGAATGTTAATAGCAGCAATTAAAACTCCACACTTATCAATCAGAATTCAGAAAAGGACCCAAATCATTTAATTAAGAAACTATAACACTGACATAAGCTAAGGTATTTCCAGTTGGCCATGAACAAAAATGCAGGTCTCAGATTATGTACCTATATGTACATATAAACAACAAATGAATGAAATTGAACATTGAGCTAGCTGACTTAATGGAACATAAAATAACATGTTTAAATGTGCTCATGTTAAATAAATTTAACATTAATAAATTGTGTTTTCACATAAAACGTCAGTTGTGTTTACACGTTCTAAAAAGTATGTTAGAGCAAAACTATGCCAGAAGTGACTAGTTTATTTAACTTCCCAGTATTTATTCATGTAGTATTCTCTCTCATACTTGTCTTTACTTATTGTGGGAAGTAATATTTTCAAGACTGTCAGCTTCTATTTTAATTGCAATATGTTCAGTACCTTCCATTTACAAATATTTTTGGCAAAATAATAATAAAAAATTATATATATGAAATATATCTTTTTCATCAAATCACTTCATCAAATATATGTCCCAAATGGTAAAGATGTGTTTGAATTTCTCAAAATTTAAATTATTAAATAGACATGAAAGAATATGGAACATAACATGTAGATAAAAAAAGTATAATGGTGGTATACAAGAAAACTTGCTTCTATAGTGGCTTCTTTTATTGAATATACCTCTTGAGCAATTTTATCCCTGTTTATCCACTCATTTCATTAATTACTATGAAACATTTCTGCATTAAAGGAGAAAATAATTGTAATGAGGAACTTTTTACAAATCATTAAAATATTGAAATTATACAGAACAGAGAACAATCTTTCTTCTAAACATTAGTAAAAATGTTTGTTGGGAAGGGTTTGTAAAGGCACTTTCACAAGAAACCAAAAAATGGGGCTTTTTGTGGGCTAGGTTATATGGACTTTGAAGCATGACTTTCGATGTTTAGAAGCATTCACTCATTTTTTTAAAATTATGTTTCTGCATTTTGCAAGAAATTCATTAAAAAGGATTTATGAACCGATTCATAATGAACTGAATTAGTTCTAAGAATCCAACATATGACAGAATCTTACATATGACTTAAGGCCTCAATTTGCCTCTAAACAAGATCCAAAATTATAAAATTCTTGCAACTAGAGATTATAAATTCAATATTAATAATAACAGTGAAATTTTAGATAATTGTTCACAGATTTCCCATATCACAAGACCACATTTATTACTAACACTATCATTTATTGAAAACAAGATATACTTTGTATAGAATTCTTTTACATGGGTATAGCAATAGGAAAATGCACTTTAACATGTATGCTGAATTTCTCATGAATATACTTCTATACTTGCGCACACATACTAGCACAATATTCGTAAAAAAAGGCATGTCTTTGACAAGTGAATGTGGTAAAAGTTATTGTTTCTTATGTGTTCCTCATATTCATCACAGCAGTAATATCATCCATTATTGAACCAAATATACTAATACATAAACTAGCAACAGCAGGGCATTATTTTATAATGATAAAAATTAATTTTAAACAAATCTTTTGTATTCTATGTGAAATAATAATTATAGTAATATATAATAATATACTGATAAGAATTTAGATATTCTAGTATTACAAAGTTTTCACAAGGTACAATCATTCACACAAAACTGTTCGTCTTGATAACACTGCTTGTCCTTTGAGTAATATAAGAAACAAATTACATACAAAATAAAGACTAGCTTGAATTTATGCTTGTGGATTCAGCACTGCAGTAAGATTGCTACAGAACTTTGCAACAAACACAACTTTAAATTCATTTAAAAAAATTGTGAAAACAAAATTAAAAGTGTAACTTAATAACATTTTCAAGAATTCTTATTGAGGGAGTTGAAATGTTCGGAATGCTTATATAATCCAATAACACACTCCTTATAGTGACTGCCCATCTCGCAGGAATTTGACACAAACAGTAGGCACAGTCAGGCTTTACAATGTTTAACATTCTGCTTTGTGTAATAAAGACCCATCAAGAAAAGGATAAAACCTGTTCAATGCTTGCTTACAAAATACTATTTCTTCACCCAGTGTCTCTTGAAGCAATAATGACATCCAACTCATCATACCCCTTTTCTAAAATTCAGATTCATTTTTGTTATTGTCCTGGTTATGCAAGACTATAAAAAAATGGGATCCTGAAGTTCGTGGTGTTTTAACAATTTTTTCAGAAAATGATACACAATAACAGAAATACAACTGTGAATTCTTCCACATTATTTATATAATTATATATATTTATATCTGAGTGTATTCCACCAATACCACTTCAGGAAACACTGAATTACAAGGTTTGATCTACAAGCAAACAGAACACCATGACATTTCTTGACCATTACTTTTTAAAAATATGAGACAAGCTTTAATAATTATATTACCATTCCTTATGTTTTGACTTTTAAAATATAGTTTGCATTCAAATGCTTTATTAAGGACAGTTACATCAATAAATATTGCTGCATTTGGAAAAAATCCAAATATTTGAAACCATTTAACAAATTAATCAGTGCATTACTCAACAATAAAACTGTCAAATCATGAATTTAAATGTAATTTCATTCCAATGAATTTAAGTGAATCACTTATATAAATGCTTTGCAAATGCTTAAAAAAAGAATATTGAGGTACACAATAGTGCAAATGAACAACATATTTCCTTGAACTAAAACAACAATAAATACTGTTATGTATAATTGGAACCATCATCATCACTTCATACCCACAAAATTTTTCCTATAATGCAAATAATAATCTTATTATTGGTGTCAATGTCAAATCTGAATACAACTGCTTCTGGTATCACATTAAGAATAATACCAGATTAATAGTTACATTCAAACTTGGATGTTCATGTAGTCCATACTTCAATAGTGTTCACTGTCACTATGAGGTTGTCTCATATCAGAAGGAAGATAATATGAAAATGTGACTAAAGAAGTAGCAGGGAGTTGTTCAGAACAATAATGCAATAATGGCTTCGGTGAACTTGTTGTCCATTTGGCATATTGAGCGTCAGCATTGAATACACATTGCTACCTTAGCCTGCTGCCAACAACCAAGGTAGCAAATGGTCAGACTTTCTAGATCTTTACATGTCAAATTACCTGATTTTGCATAAAAGCAATTCATAAGACTTTAAAAAACAAACATTTAGAGTGTAATTCCCACAGTTTATGCTGCCGAGATTATCACAACCTTAAGGTTTGTCAGCAGGCTAGGAGCAATAAATACTACTAATCAAATTCTCACAAACAAATAACAAAACAATAACATGACTACTTGGGAGTTCCTTACATGACAAGAATGGTACAACTGAACAACATCAAGTAACAGTAACATACCACTCAAAACACACTCGCAATGAAATTACACTCAACAGTTTCACAGAAATGCAGCAAATCATTCATTCTTTACGGGGTCGAACTTTCTTTGGAGATCTGGGTGCATCTCCAGCACCCTCTGCTATGGACTCCTGTAAATTAAAGAAATTTTTTTACTACCCTAAAAGGAACAAACAATTCAGAGCCTGCCGCTTCAAAAAACTACCAACAAATAAAATTAAATAACGATAAACTACCATTTTAGGTTTTTACTACAACTTCAAATACTTTAATATTCCAACTTTTTCTATAACAGCATTTTCGAAACTGCTGCCTTCAATGTACAAAGATTATTTTACCAAATGTATGATCACTTGTTTGGAAGAATTAATTTTGCAGCAAAACTCCAATAAACAAACAATAACAGGAATAAGCTTCTCAAAATGGAAATAGAAAAACACATTTTGCAAACTCTGAAGACTTACATGAAAAGGAGTTGATGGGAAACATACCTTTACTTCTGCCAGAGTGAATTTGATAAAAAACAAGTTAACTTTCGAAAGTATTTTGATTGTATTGCGATCGCAATGATACAGTTAAGAGTTTCTATTTTACAAGTATGTCATAATTAAAATAGAAACATAACTACTATGCTTCACAGGCAAAAGAAAAAGGTTTGATGTGTTATAATGAAGTTATTAGAACAACTGCTGTAATAAACTTGTTATAGCACTGGTAATTAAATGAATCAAGAAATAGTTCTGCTAATCAAACATTATCTTCTCAATGAAGGCACATTAACCAAGCACCTACCTGCAGTGGAGGTGGCTCATCATCATCATCTTCATCCTCCTCTTCATCGATATGCTCTGCCTCTCCATCACTCACATGTTCACCGTCTGCTTTATTTGAAGCAGCATTATGTGGTAATTCGAGATCACTTTTTGAAGCAGGTGAAGTTTTATGCAAAGGCCTTGAGTCATCTACAACATCCTCATCTTCATAATCAGGAGTTATTGCATCAGTCTTTTTGGCATCAGCTGCTCGCTTCATTTCAGCTTTCTCCTAAGTCAAAAAACAGGTGTGTGAATAAAAACGATGTGGCTATACGTATATACATCAGTAATTGCTCATAGATGCTGCATGATAGGTTTAATAAAAGTTTATGACGAACCTTTTTCAAATCTTTAAAAACACGAGAAGTACTCAGAAGAGTAAGTATTAAGAATTACTCTGAAATGAACTGCTTAAATACTAAGAATGTCAAGTGATATTTTGACTCCAAGCTTTAACGACACTGAAGAGAAAACATTACAAAAATGTTTATCTAGTTACATCACTTACAAATGATAATTTCAAGTTTCATAGAATTAATATTCCTCATTTCTTGATAATTACTGTTTTGCAAAATGCAAGAAAAAGAAACCTTTTAACATGAATACACAGAAAAGATAAAAGGTTAAAAAATATACGTTTCTGAATAAATAATTTTGTTGCAATAAAAACATTTTAAAAATATATTGATAATATATTAAAATATATATAAATCAATATAAAATAACTACCAGTGTCACACATGACACAAAATTATATTTCCATTCCATTGCACTTCCCATATATTATTGTCTTGCAATTGCCCAAAGTTTATTTGACCTTTAATACATTTTTGACATAGATGAGAACTTGTCACATGTCAACATTCTGAAATTAAATTTATAGGGCATTTCAAATTAAAGTGACTCGGGTCTAACTTGGGTTGACGTAAATTTTCAATTGATATTATCAATACTCAACATGTATGATTTTGTCATTACCAAAGAATTAACTACTAGTGTGAATAAGCACATTTTGTATAATATTCCAAAGCCATTTGTTAAAAATCTACTTTATATTCTGCTGGTTTATATTCACAGCTACAGTGCTCACTGTCTTCTCATTGCTTTGAAAGAGCGATGGTATCTTTCCACAATATGGAAAAGTGATCCTATATGCATTGTTTAAGATAATTTATCACTTCTTTATGTGAAATTTCTCTTCAAATCTTGAACTCTCTATCTGAAGAAAAATTTGTAATTCAATGACTTTACACTTAGAAAGTCGTTTCTAATGACTGAAATATAATAAGTTGACTGCGCAGTAATGAAATAACGTGCGCTCAATCAACTTGTATGTTTGTATGACCAGAAAATGATACAAAGTGGAAGAAATGTACAAATATTTCTTCAGTATATATCCAAAATTGTAGAAGACACACTGCAAAATTTTCAGCATTGAAATTACCTGAAAATGAAGGTGTCAATAGCAAAGGAATCGAAATAGCACATGAAGCACTGTAGTAAATTCGCTTATATATTATATACATACATATGCATATACATACATATACATGTTTCATTACTTATTTAATTATTACATACCTCAATACTTAACTCAATGATGTAAATAGAGACAAACAATAAGGAAATCATGAAATTACAAACTCTTAATTATCAAAAAACAAAAAAAGTTAATATAGCATCAGGAGCCAAAATTATTCTGCAGTGTTCCAGTGTTAAAACAACTTATTACATCTAAAAATAGAACACTTGAATATACAGAAGAAATCTACCTACAACTCCAAATAATAGCAGCCACTGCATTACATTGTTCGATAGATACAAAGGGATCATTTAACTTACTAATTTGTTAATATTACTTGTGTGAATCACATTTCAATTGATTAACAATTACTTAAATACTACCACTAATGATTAATGAATTAATTAATAATTTTAACTATCAAATATTACAAGACAACTGGAAATGCATTATTATTTCTATCATAATGCTTACAGAGAATATTTTCCCAAACTAAGTTTTTCTACCTTACAGAATGAAGTGGGAATGCTTTATTAATCAGCTTAAAATAGAAGTAGTTTGTAAAGTACTTTAATTTATTTTCTAGCACTTGCTAATCAATCTAAAACAACTCTTGCTTCAAATGTCATACACAAAACCCAATATTAATTTTGTAACTTTAAAGATTAGAGCATTTCTTGAAAGCATTTAAAGGATTTACAAAATGAACTTACCGGAGTTGATCCACAGCAAAATACAATTAGCATTACAATTGGGAGGCCAATTACAATGACATATACAGCCCACAACCAAGGGTGCTCATTGGTATAGTGCACCAACCTCATGACGACACCTTCCTGCAGAAGAACAAAGCTGCTATAGGGTAAAGCAACTAAAGGATATAAATTACCCAACAAGGAGCTAGAACAAAGGGAACTAATCAGTCTACTCTGAGGCAAACAACACCCAATGCTGCTCTACAAATACTTTTGGGAACAATTGTATTTTAGAAAGGGTATTTTCATTACCTCAGATACCCTTCTGCACAAATACCATACATACACTGCAACTGGTATGAGACAGTACACAAAATACAATGCCCACCAACCAGTTTTGTAGTTTACTGACCTCATGAAGCGATCATGAAATGTGTCCTACAAATAGAGAAACTTGAATTTAAGTGAAATCATTGCAATGATACATTACAAAATTACCTAAATAAATTTGTCAGCTGTACACTGATAATATAAATTATAACTATTTACTCTTTTCAATTTTGCTTAAGAGAAAGGCTGGATTAGAATGCTTCACAAGACAGAATGTTTTAAACATGTGTACTTTCCAAGTAGATTCAGCAAAACCACTAATAAAAAAATCTTTGTTGACTCAAACTTTCCTCTGCTTGTAAACAAAAGCACATGGATGTTGCTTGTTCTGATTTGTTACTGAACCCCACACTCTTTTCCATGGTGTTAAAAGTGAAACTCGATAGTCTCTTTCGAAATGGATTTGACAGTATTAACAAAGTCAAAATAACGTTCTCTTCTGCCTTGGAGTGAAATCAGACAAAAGACCATGACCCTAAAAGCAAAGTTTCCTGTGTGACATACTTCTTGGAGTAAGAAAAGTTTTGACAACCAATTTTCGCTCAGATGCAGTTCCACTCTTCAATAAAAAGGATCTAAAGTATCTTTTCTTTTTGCTGCTTGTGAAACACGGTGTGTTATACTTTCAATAAATCAATTTATTTTTGTTACTGCCACAAATACCATATGAGTGCAGCAATTTCCAATACACCATGTTCAAAATTTTACAGAGAATCGTAAATTCATAAGTAGTGTAGAGACGATATGTTTTTGCATGCTTTCGAAACACTAGCAGACCTGACCGCCATTTGACTGCTGCTTGTTCAGTTTGAGAGCAAATCGTAAATGTAATTACTATGCCATTAAAGAAAAAATTTTATGTATGTTTGACTTATATTTTGGACATACTAGGCTATTAGAACAAGTACAATGAAAAAGGCAATTCTTGCTGCCAGGTGTGGGCACTAAAGAGACAAACAATAAAAACTTGAAAGGCAAAGATACATATAGATTGTTTTCAGGCAGAGTAAAGTAAGAGTGAACACGCTTTAAGTGTACCTAGTTCTGCAATTTTAATCTAGGACAAAAACTCAGATCCATACTTCTTTTCTATTGAAAGAATTGCATCATGAGAGAAAAATGTTAGCTGCATGATAAAATTAATTTCAATTTCAGAATTCACTTTTATACAAAATAAATATAATTATCTTAAAAGGATAGGAGTAATAAAAACACAATAAGCCACTTCAAACACTTTTACACAAATCCTAATTTTAATTTGTAGCATTTTGGAAACCCAATGAAGATCAAGTAACAAAAACTTCTAAGTAAAATTTGAATAGATTAAAGAACAGTCATATCCACACAGGTAGACATTAAAAGATAAACTATTTCTGAAAATTTCAGTAAAATTTAATTTCCTTTTTTTGTTTTTTTTTCTGAATTTTTGAAATTACTCTGAACTATACAGACTATATATCAAGACAAACATTTTTGTTTGATATTCTCCATGCATAATTGTTCCCAAGCAGTACTCATGTGTTGCACTATTAATTAAACTATTTGGGATCAGAGTTCTCACAGCACATAAATGTGGTATGATACCCATTCCTAACATAGCGTGCCTTGCTTTGAAATGAGCAAATCATAAATGGGACAGGGAAAAATTCTTCAAATATAGAATGTAGCTACAAATAATACTGGACACTACTTTCTGCAAGTTCTATTCCTCAAACTTGAGTTTGGTGAAGGATGAGTATGGTTACTCTCCTCTCTCTAAGCAGTGTAAAATTCACTGCACGGGACATGTTATGTGCTAGAATTCTGCCACTAGTTACAGATAATCGCCAATTTCTTCAATTTCTACAGTACATTGATGAAGCTACTTTCACGTGGATATTGCACTCAAGACAAGCAAACACTATGTCTGTGCATAAGTAAAAAGACATTGACGGAATTTTTTTGAAAATGTTTTTGTAGTATATAAACCGTACCTATTTAACATGTTGAAAAAAGATTCTAACAGGACTTCAATTCCTGAAGACCTTAAGAACAGAACGAGCTGACAGTAAACTATCTCTGTGTCCAGGAAACCCTTTTTCATACAGGGTACATTTTGCTTAGAACAACCTGTGACTTCCCAAGAATTCCTTTATTCCAAGTTTTCTTTTGGGACACCTGTATTGATACTAGGACGCGTATCAAACTACACCAAATGTAGTAATTAATTATTTCTACAATCGCGAAAATCGTTTGGCCACACGAGGCCCTCTTTACCTGGCTCACCTGCATTGCTGCCTGCGTTACGTACTGAATCCTATAACAGCATTACCGTTAATTTTCCGGTTTACCAGTAACACAAATGGATGATTTTTGGCCCCCACCCCCCCCCCCCCCAAAAAAAAAAAAAAAAAAAAAAAACTGTAGGTGAAGGAGCATGTTTGGTTTCAGCACACAAAATTAGTCTATAAATCCTATGCAATTCTTTGTTTGCAGACTAGTATAGTTGGTCGTTCATGGGTGTGTCACCTGCTATGGCCCTTAAGTGGCTTTTATCATGGCCTCCCACTGGATGGAGAGATCCAATACCAACCTACACATGGGCTTGCGGGATTTTCTCATCCAGGTATCTTCCAACAGGGGGGCACTGCCCCAACCTGGACAAACTCTAAGCTCCTCCATGAACTATGGTAGTGTAGTGCATGCAAACGTAAGAGTGTGTTTGTAAGGGGCAGAGGAAGGACAGATCGTGCACAATCCATGGCCCATTAGAGTACTGCTCTGGCATTCCCGTCATGATGATCAAAGAAACCATGAAAAACTACTGATCAGAGCGGCCGGCTGCTACAATTCTCAAGAAAGCGGGTGAATTCAACCTCGTTATCTCGCGAAAATCCTGCCACAGTCGGGACTTGAACCCTAGGATCTTCCTGAGGTACTGCAGTGACATCAGAGAATGCCCTTTGCCACCTCAGCCAATTCCCATAAAAGCATTTAATTAATGAAACAAATGTACTTTTAAAGATATAAATCTTAAATTGTAAAATATTTTCTCGATAGTACACCTAATGTATGTTTCAACACTAAAGCCTAAAAATGGCTACATTAGGAATAGTTGTTAATTCACACATTAACGACACAGGATGGATGAAGCTGTTTGAATGACTATGAATGAGTCATTTTGCAGTTCATCCAGCTAATGTTGGTAATAGGTAATAGGGGCGAGGCACTGCCAACTGTCCGAGTGGAAGATTCTTGTCTTCGCTACAAGGATTTTGGCATTAAAATCACATTTGAAATTAAATATTGCCCAAGCTAAAGATTACTCCATTTAAACTGCAAAGGCCAAAACCTCCTTGCTTAATGAACTCAGAAATGCTTAGTGAAGCATCAATTGAACTATATGGTGTGGTTCAGTTGCTTAGTATCACATAAATAGAAATTTATGGCAGACACAGGAGAACTCAAAACTACACACCTTGTCTCTCACCAACCTTACAAAATTCCCCACTAGCAATCAACTCACTGTATCACACATCTACTACTCCTCATCACTAGAGTCCGGAAGTTTGGCAGAATACCTTTTTGTTAGTCTTTTAACAATAGGAATTACATAATTGTAATACTGGAGTTGTTTTAAAAGATTTTTATTTTGCCTTCTTTAGCTTTTGATGTCCCGTTTTTGCCATTTTGCCTTTTTTTTTTGGCCCTTTATATAATTATTTTCCTTTTCTTTCTTTTTACTGGCACTAATCTTGATCAAGCTGGATATACGACAGACATTCAATAAATTATCTACCTCGGTAACCTATGGCATCATTAGAGAGCTGAGCAGGCACAGGCAAGTTGGAACATGTTTCGACCTGTTATCAGTCTGCCAAAAGCTCTTCATGCGAGATAGACAGCACAGTGTCGCGCACTGGGGCTTCATGCAACTTACCATATACTCAAATATAATCCACCCTTGATTATTATCCATACCCTAATTTTCCGGTAAGGAATATTGAAAGAAACAAAAACAAACTTTTCACATTTTTTCACTTTTGTTACAATTTTTCACCTAGAAAGGCCTGCCGTTTAACACTGGTTAGATGCAAGACCCTGACTTCACAGTGGCATTATGTCAGTCATTTCAGGTCTTTCTCAGTTGTGCTGCCAATATCATGACCGTATCACACCGCAATATGGTCATGATCATGCAACATTAGTGGCACTGAGAAAGATGCAAAATGCTGTGAGATATTCCATTATGAAGACTGGTTCTCATATGCCAAGAAATAAAAAACCCATACCGCCTTGTGACCACTAGCAACACACTTCACGTTCGTGGTACAAACATTGACTCAAATATTATCTGCACCCCAATTTTCAGCTACCAATTTTTTGAAAATAATATGCGGGTTATATTTGAGTATATACGGTAATGATTCTCCATGTAGTCCAGATCTGGCTCCCAGTGACTACTTTCTGTTTCAAAACATGAAATAAATTATGCATGGGTGGCAATTTCCTGATGAAGCAGTTAGGGAAGCTGTAATAGGGCATTTGGACAATCAAAATCTTTCTTTCATTGCTGAGGATATTCAATCACTGGAAACAAAATAGACCAAGTGTATTGAAGTCAATTGGAACTGCATTGAAAAGTAATAAAGCGAGTTTCAACATAAAATTTCGTATTCGTACTCGTGTTTTGTCTTTCTGTAGAAGCGCAGAGGCTGTGTTAAGAATGTAAATGAAAAAGGAAGATGATACGGCCAAGATTTTTGATTCTTTTCATTAATGTCGACAAGCTTTGTTCACTCCCAAGGAATCACATCTTACCATCTTACATATGAGTTTGGCCACAGATTCCTTTTGAGTAGAGGTCTCTGTACCCTTCTCAGGACTTGCGATTACACAAGTGCGAAGAACAAAAAATGTAATTTCATTTACCAATGCCTTTTCAAAATTCAAAGTGGGCCCACAATAGTATTTCAAAGAGATTTGTCATAAGGAAAACTAAATTGAAGCCATCATGCCCAATGGCCATGTGGAATCAAGATAACGAAAACCTTATTTTCTTACATGTTCAGCACAAACGTAAATTTTAGAGTCAGATATGGAAACTGTAGAGTTCAGATAAACTTGTGATTCACTTTAATTATGAATTTTTTACAATAATTAATATTAAATGTGTTTGTTCATTGGTTACGTGCCTTTTTGCACCCCAACTTTAGCTAGAATAAATGCCTTTTTGCCTACCTTTTGAAGATAAAATAAAAGTCAGAACTTCCAGGTTCTACTCACCACCACAACATATTTCACCTACCCTAACCCCCTAACCACGTTCCCAACTTCATCCAGCTAGTTTGAAATATGCTTTGTAACTGTTCTGATTTCAGTTTATCTACCTACTTTGGATATTATGGACTTATTATGACTATATTATGGATTATTATTTGTATATTATTCACAAACTAGCTATATTGGGACTTTAACCATAATACATAAGCAACATTTCTGGCATATGAGCAAGATAAATTAAGTACCAAAGTGAGTATCTATCCTATTATTATTTTTTTAAAAACATTTTTACAACAGTTAAGGATAATCCTGTCAATGAACAATACTTACATATTTTATATAGTTACTAAATGAAAAAAAATCATCAGTCTGACTGTAGACTGGTCTATTGCTGCATGCATGACATGAACTGCAATTTGCAGCTTTGCACACATTCTGTACATTGTACAACATTTGAGAAGTTCCACAAAAACAAATGTGTAAATTTTCTAATACGACTACCAATTTCTGAATTTAAACATTTCACTTACCGAATCTTTATCTAATTTTCTGATTTTCAAGCTGAAAGTCTCAGCAGCCCATTTGTCTGCTACTCAGTCACAATAATATTGTCAAAACAAATATCATGTTGGACACTTGACCATAATTACAATCACGTGTCATTTTGAATGGTTGCAAGTCCTCATAGAAATCAGGATTAGGAATACGACGAGGCTTCCATTTGCCCTTGTAATTTGGGTTGTCAATTAGCGGTGGCCTCCACTTGCCTTTGTGAGCAGGATTGTTAATCATCGGCCTCTTCCATGGACCGCAACCTGGAGCACCCTCACATGCAGGATTTGAAATGAGGGGAGCTTCCCACTCACCATCCATATCAGTATCCCTATTCATAATAAATTCATTAAGACATAAATTAAACGGCTTCATTGCTACTTCATATATTACTTCTTACACAAGATTAGAAGTGTGATCTCATTTGTGTATTACACTACTGGACCTTACCAATCATCAGGCTTTTCAGCGTTGGGATCAGGGATCATTTCAGGTTCATCTTCCAGCCATCCATCAGGTTTCACAGCTGATTCATCAGGAATCATAGGTGGAGCATCCTCATCCCAATCATCAGGCTTCTTTGCCTCAGGGTCTGCTATTTTCTCTCGTTCATCCCAATCTTCTGGTTTTTTGTCAGAAGGATCTTCAATTTCAGCAGGAGGATTGACAGGTGGAGTGAAATCTTCCAGCAAGTTCCCTTCATTGATTATCTAATACATATTTATAGTTACAATAAGAAAAAATGAAAACCAAACACTAATGGAAAAAACATTAATTAATGTCCTTTCACGAGAAAAAAACCCAAGTAAAAAATATACCTGATGCTGCTCTTAAAGGCGCCTCAGGAAAAAATCATTGGCAGTGTGATGTCACATCAAGCATTTTTAGACCGCCTAGAATGTTTCTTTACTGTCAAATGTGGTAAAAACATCACTTTATACTAACTGAAGATTTGCGTTGAAAAGGCACCCGCCGTGAAAATGGATGAAGAATGAAAACATTTGACTGATGTTTCGTATACTCATACGCATGCTATCTATGCAAAAGTTGAATAACATCGTTAATACACATACAAAATCTTAATCTTACCTTTTGATCCAAAAATACGGTGAAACTATTATCAGGGCGGAGGTGTAAAGTATATAAATGTGGTCTTTTGTCTTTGTATGGCTCCTCCACTCTATCTTTAGGTTTCTTGCAGTGTTTTTCAGACATTGTGCCATTATTCGGATTTTTGTGACGGAAAATAAAATGGAGCTATTAAATAATATGTCGTATAAGTCAAGAGAAGTAGATAAATAAGTAATAAAAGATTCTGAGGTAAATTTTGCTGCTGCCTTTTAAAACAAAATACTTAATATTGGGCAAAAATTTTGATTTCTTTAAAGCTTCTTCAGTCTTAAAGACTATCAATAATCTCTTAGGCTGAAATACTCTAAAATTCTCTGGAATCAGCAAATATACAATCAATCAATTCAAGAAAATTCTCTTATTAATTTTACTTAATTATGCTGTGATATGCACTGTTACAAATGTTACATGTAGAAAGGTAAAAAAAACTGCCTAAATTAAGCACTTCCAATTTCTAAATCGGTCACCCAAAACAGGAAAATAGATATCTGAAGACCTGAGATGTAGTTTAGAGAACAGCAAATTTTACCACGTAAACATATTTAATATGGTAATTTAAAAACCTTCACATCAGTTCCACATTTGTCAGGACCAAACATAATTGTATATGGTGTCTTATCGTTGAACTTGCGCAAATCAGAAGACTGCTTGCTCTGGGAAAGCAATTTCAAGTAAGCTCCACCACAGTCCTGTCCTTCCTGAAATGCTACTTCATACTGCACAATGAATGGTTTGTCAGCAAAAACAAATGGCCGATCCAATCGAGCTGAAATGGCAGAGTGCTTTGCTTTTGACTTCAATACAAGACCTAGGTCACCTTTCAACCCATCTTGCTGAGGAGGTTCAATTGCCCACATTCCTGCAACATAAAACCTAATGTTGATGTTGAGGTATAAAACATTCTTAATAAATGGGTAAAATAGCATTCTAACAAGTTACAAGTTAAGTGGCTACAAATTTTACAACTGATGAACATCTGGGCTTAGAGAAGCAATTCAAAATAATTAGTAATAATAAATAGTTAACTGCCAGCTCAGACAGCTGAAGTTTCTAAGGCTGAAGAGCAGTTGTTTTGTATTTGTAAATTATTATTACTACAGCATTTTATATGGTTGTAAATTGTGGAGAAATTGTCTTAATTATAAATAATATAAATAAATAAAAGAATTGAATATTTTTAAAACAGCCAATAGACATATTAATGTTCACAGTAAAAACAGCTGAAAAATAGCTGTTAAACGAGAACCATGTAAAGGATTTGCCAATATTAGCATGCTGAACTGAGAGCTTACTGCCAATCATGACTCATCTGGCTGCTTCATGCCCTATTCTTTTCAACGTGATAAGATCTCCAGTTTTTGCTGCTTTCATAGAATTTTGGCTGTTCCCAGCCATGCGTAATGAAACATGCAAATTATATTGAATTTGCAAACAAAACAATAGATGATTTCTAGTGCAGACTCCAAAATTTTAAGTTCTTGAGTACGGCACATTTTCAAATTAACTTTCCTTGAAAGCAGTTCCAAAGCGTTTTTCAAAAATTTTCAGAACCAAAGGTGTTCTACTCTCAAGACATGACAATAGTTTCATTTTAATGAAAGTATTAGAGGTTAATATTTTTTTGTTTAAACTTTGTAGTATTTTATTATATATACCATCAATATTACTGTAACAAAAGAAAATCTTGGAATTGAAATATTCTCTAAATTGTAATTTGGACAACCTTTTGTGTAGAGTTTGTAAATTTTACAGCAAATGTTCATTCAGGAGAGCAAGAGCTGAAGTTTTTAAAAATGAAAACTCTTGTTTCACTACTTTGACAACAAATTTGTTAATAAACATGGCCTTCTATGAAGCAAATAAGGTTAAGTTTCCTTACAAAGTGGAAATTGATAGTTCACTGAATTACAAGCAGTTTAGTAAACAAATTTTTAAATAAATATCTAATTTTTTCTCTCCTAAGGCTTTTATCCAGCCAACAGCTGGTTATCTAGATTAATAGTATATAAAATTAATGTAATTATTATAATTTTATGTATTATACCATAATTACAAATAATGTAAGTGTGTGATATGTTGCAGCTTTACTAATTTAAATTTTGTAGTGTAGCGTTAATAATAGAAAATGTATTTATTATCAACAGACAATATGTCCACAATTTACTACAAAATAAAGTTTACTACAAAACAAACTTCAATCCATTATTAAACTCTGTAATATCTATATTTAAATTGAAATTAGGCCCACTTTCAATTTAAATATACCGCCCTACACAATCTAATTACAGGTGAATTTGCAGTATTTATTTATTTGTTTATTTATTTATTAATAAACTGACTTCACTTCAATGTAGAAACGTAATGGAAAAATACAAATAACCAAGTTTACACATTCATATGAAACGTAGATTGAATTATAGCTTAATCGAAAAGATATCAAAACAGGAAAATAAAGTAAAGATTAATTTTTAGACTGGCAAAAACACAATTTTACAATATTATAATATATGTATGAAAATACAGTACATTTTAAAGTATTCGGTGACCTCACCGAGATTCAGGTCTACGATTTCTTTTTTTAAATGTAAATTTAATTTAAAGAATAGAATATGATACCTAAATAAATATACACATACACAACATGATAATAAACACCTAATTAGAAGATAAACATTCAAACTAAAATTATAATATAGATTTTACTAAAGACACTAGCAATTTTCTCTTTGAGTCTCTGACAAATTTTGAGGTAATCGGTTCCCATATATTGAAATGTTTATCATTTGCTAATTTACACATACAAGTAAGCGGATTGTTAAAGAGTTTAGATAGAAGTATATAAAGGTAGCGAAATCTTTTCTTCTTGTTGCTGTGGGAACTCTAAACCTCAATTGTTCCAAAGCAAGTGGGCAATCAATTTTGTTATTAATTAATTTGGGCGGATAAGTACACCCTTGTGTTCCCCCAAAGAAAAGAGTGAAGGATATTTAGGGAACTCAATATTGCACAAATGTTGCTACAATTCTAAAAACTATGTTGGACCATTTCTAATTTGTGGGTATAAAAATGAAAAATTGGGTGCCATACTACTGATGAATACATAAGAACAGCTTTAATTACTATTATATATAAAGTATTTAATGTGTGAACATTATCGAACTCTTGACATGTTCTCCTAATAAACTTAAGTAGTTGTTTTGCTTTCTTATTCATATAATCAATGTGATCCACAAACGATATCTTGGAATAAAAAATAATGCCTAAATCATGAACAACAGTTACTTTTTCTTACTAAGTTGAGTTAATTGAGTACACAAGTAAGAAAGGAGCTTTTAAGTTTGAGACAGTGATCCATTTGCCAGGGTTTAAAATGAAATCATTGTCTTCACACCTTTTAAGGGAAGGTTGAAGGCAAAAAATTAAGAAAATATAGATTTTCACTTGTTAGTCAATTATTAATCTTCAATATTTTCCCTTTTAATGGTGTATTCATTTTATCTGTACGTTGTTTCTAATTTTTGTTTTTTAAATTAAATAATATGCTGTGGGTCGACCTTGCAATTCATGGTTGTCTATGTGGAATTGTCTCCGTTCATTACTTTACAATGACACAAATAAGGAAACTAGGGGAGTGAAACAGAAAAGAGCCAGATACACAACATCAATGAAAAAGAAACAAAAAAAGTAAATATCCAATATTTTGAAAATCCCTCATTTGGACCTAGAATGAACTGGAAATACATGGCAAACTTTAAAACCTGATTCCTGTTAAGTTTGTTTTTTGGAATATAAGGAACATTTTCCTGAACAATTAAAGCTACTGACTTTCTTCACCAAGTCAAACTACATCTTTTATCAGACTTTTTATTATATCTAATTTTTTTTTAAAAGTTATGTACATTATGATAATAAAAAATGTGGGTGTAAATATTTTAAACTTTTAAAAATTCACATTACAACAAAAACTAAAATTTCTTAAAAATCCTACGACAAAACATTTAAAATATAGCCAAGAAACTACAAAATTAGTTCGCTAGTGAATACGGTTTGGAACAAAATGTTCCTTGAATTTAACATTTTAGGTATAGGGCCTTCCCTGTCCCCTTAACTAAACAATTGAGAGAAAGGTGTAATGAGTAAATGATCATTACATTTACTTTCTCTAAAAATTTGCAGTCGTCTACATAAAGCAAAAATTCAATGTCTTGGAACACAATGCTAGATCATTTATGAAAATTATGAAAAGCAATGGACCCATATGGAAACCGTGAGGTACTCCATATAACATTAGAAAACCTTGTGAGATAGTATTCCCATATTTTACAAATTGAGTTCTATTAATAAGGTTATTAGAGAACCATTTTAACAAAGGAAAAGCTGAAAGCTTTCAATTTTTGCAAAAGTAAAGAATGATTCTCCAAGTCAAATACCTTACTAAAATCTGTAAATGCAGTCTATCTGACATTTATTTTCTATACTATTTAGGACATACTGAGGGTTATAAATCAGATTGGATTCAATATTCTTTTTACTCATGAATCCAAATTATCTACTGAGAAGATGGGAAATGTTTGGTTCAATTTATCTGTGAGCTACGGGATTGAGTCACGCGTCTTGCATTACGTTTCTCGCTATTGACCCCATTGTGAGCCGCGCTCCCTTGCAAGAACTCTCAGTTATCAGTAAGTCCTAGCAATACCCGGAAGCGTGACTATATGAGCAAATTTTTCCAGAAACTCCTGGAACATCGCAGTTCTACGAACATCTCGTCCAGAGGCACCCAGTGACAAACTGACTGAGCATTATAACCCATCCAGAGGCTACCACACACAGAAATATTTTGTGTATCAACTAGTCTAGAGCAGTGAAAGGGTTAAGTCTTGACTACTTAAGAATATATTTGTTGGAACACCTTAATTTCAAATGAAACTAATAAAATTGTCTGAATAAAAGTAACCAAGATGAAAAGTTCTATATTAACAATAAATATACTAGATCTTCCTGAACTTCATTATCGTTATTTGAAATCAGCGGCTCACTGTAAACAAACGAATAACATACCGTATATAGGTCACAATTCTCATTAAATGTTTGTATTTTACAACAGCAATCATCTTTCCAGCTGGCAGCGTCTCCATATCATTATCTTGGAAAGGATTAATAGCCTGATATTTGTTGCACTTATCTTTTTAGGGTCTACCTGCAGTTTTTACAGCAATTTCTGACCTCTTCTCATTGCAGCTTAGACCCTTCAAAGCTTAATGCTAGATTGAGACACCACATTTGTTTCACCTCTGTTCACAGTTCTCCCTCCCTAGACATCAATGAATTTCCCTTTCTGTGGGGAGATGAAGTATGGAGATGGAGGGTTATCACAGCATTGCAGAGAGCTGTATGTATGCTACAGGAGTGACACGTACACCGCGTTTTCTTTCATTCCCATTGACATACTACCACACCCAACCATGGCTCCACATTGAGCCAAACATAGCCAAAACGGTCTTTAAAATATTTGCCATTATAATTACTAGTGATGTTGGATAGATGTCCTGATTTCGTGGATTCTTGAAATTGATTCAAAAATCTTAAATTTGTCAACTAATAAGAAGAAAGGATTTCTAAATTAGTTTTAAAATTAGTGCTGATACCTAACCATTCATGTTTTTAAACTGAAGAGATGCCATACTGGCATTTTAAGATTGGAGTTATTATTCCTACAATACAATTTCATAGAAATCTACAAATATAAGATTGAGATCACCTTATAACTGACACTATCAAGAGGAAAACTAAATGCATAATTCCAAAAGGACAATTGCACTGTGAAACACTTAAAAAAATTATGAAGACCAGCCTGCCCGAGGAAAGAAAACAAGGCTTTCTTTCATATTTCTAGACTTATAGCCTACTGCTTTAGAAGAACTCGGAAGATTACTGACTTACACAGAGTAACCACCACTTTCACCAGAGTGACTATTTCTTGGAGCAAATTTGTCTGACTTTCTCTAGTTTTTCACTGTATTAATTATTTGCATTTTTATTTATACCAAAAACAGTTAAAAACTGTGTGTGAAGTGCTATGGGGAGAAGTTAATTTGAAGCTACATTTCTATCCAGAAGCAAAACAAGGGGCCATCTCAGCATTTGCTTGAGGACCAGGGAAACCGGACGAAAACCTGATCGAGGTGGGGATCATTGACCCAGAAGCTGGAGTACAATACTTGTTACAGGTCCTTCACAATTATACAATCCAAATAATATGTAATATATCAAATGTCATTGTTAAAATTAATATTACTTTCCTTTTGGATGCTCGATATAGTCTCTAATTGTACAGAAACAGTTGTGCAGCAGAAAAGATTTTACTTGGGACTTAAACTTTTGTATCGAATTTAATCATTGAATGTCATCTGGGAAGGTGTTGTGTACATGTAATGTGTGTGAATTTTTTGTATTGCGCTGTTGATACTGTCACCTGATGAATATGATTACTATGTTGAGCGATGGAGTTACATACAACAGCATTTGCTGAAAATATATTCCTGCCCTTGAGTAGGTCATTTTTGACAAAAACCACTGATTCATATATGAAGAGCTGTGGTAATGGTAAAATACCTAGATTAATAAAGAAAAGCTTACAAAAATCACATGGGTGGGATTTGCTTATCACACAATTCTGTTTTGTAATCTAAAAGTCTGGGAGATATAACATGTATTTCTCCAGAATATTATTCCATATCTCAGGCGGAAATGAACATTTGCAAAATATACATAAGCAGTGCGGAGTCTGACTGAATTTGAAAGAATTCTGGAAGCGTAGCATAAATAACTTCATTTAATGTTCAATTCATTTAAATGGATGTTCCATTTAAGGTATGACAATTGAAAGACCTAAAAATTTTGTTACTTTAACATCAGTCAATGGCACACCATTCATTTTCAGTGAAGTGCCGAGCTGTTTATTTGAAATGGAGAATTGCATTGAAACAGTTTTTTTTTTTTCCATTTACTATTAATTTATTATTACAAAATCGATTTGAAATATCTGATATTGTACTATTTACTGTTTCTTTATTGCAAACAATATTCAGATCATCTGCAAAGAGAACCGTTCTTCCGTTTCTAAACGTCGAGGGCATGTAGTTTTTGTATAGTAGGAAGAGAATAGTGCCTAAAATAGATCCTTGCGGAACTTCAAATGGAATTGGAAAGGAATCAGAAGGGTGTGTACATAAAGTTCCATTATTCCAGTAAGGTATTTCTACTCTTTGAGATCATTGTTTAAGCAACTAACATAACCAATCTAGAGCAATACCATGAATTCCATATGAAGATAATTTTGAGAGTAAAATGTTATGCTCAATGATGTCAAAAGCTTTTGAGAGATTTAAAAATATTCCAATAGAGGATTTGTTTTGATCCATAGATGAGGCAACATATTTTTTTTAAAAACATATGACCGTTTCTGTAGATTTTGATTTTCAAAACCCATGTGGGCAATCTGCAAAAACACGCCATGTTTACTAAGAAATATTTTTATCTGTGCATAAAAAAAGTCTAATATTTTTGGGGAAAAAACTACAAGAAAGAAAGTATGTTCAAATTTTTTTTAAACATTTGACAAGAAGAGCTGTTATTACATATTATTATTATTTTATTATTTAATTTGAATACTTTATAATGTTTCACACACTATGCTCGAGGATGGAAAAAAAATAAACAGACAATTGAATGTTTAAGTTTTCTTTTTATTTGGAATCTACTTAGTAGAAATCTTCAAGATGTGAAAATATTTTTAAAGCATTGGCAAAACCACATTCATCAGTTTAAAACCTTGGCAAAACATTTTCTCAACAAATAAAAATTGAGCACAAAATAACACACTACTAATGTTTTTAAGGAAAATATCTTCATTTAGGAGGGTAAAAACAAATTTTTCTTAGCTTCCAATGATTCAACAAATTCTGGTTTTTCCCTACCTTTTTCCAAGCAATGAAATTCCCTGATTTTCCTCAGTTTTTTGAGAAAGTGGCTACCCTGGTTCATAACAGTTCTCAATCGAAGACTACTTTCAAGAACATTTTATTCCCAACAAGAGAAAAACACACACACACATTGAGATCCAACACAAATAATTGACACAAAAGTGGACAAATGCAATTAACATTTCACCCACTGTTCCATTTTGTCAGTTTGGCTTCTTACAGACTTTGAAAGATTTTGTGAAATAAAACATGAAAAGAATCATATTTTTTAAAGTGAATAATTGTAGGAATATAGTAAATAATAAAATAGTTTCTAAATATTTTTTAAGCCACAAAATTGATCATACGTTATGTGACACAAGGTTAACTTAATACCCAATCACAACATATCAAAAATTAACCTTCTACATGGAATGCTAGATCTGTCTTATCAGTGTTAGCAAGAAACGCCACTCCTAGAATTCAAATTGTAATTCTGTCAAAATTATTTCTAAATACACCAGAATCTGAAAGGTTTCTTCTTCTCTGAACTATACCTTTAATCGGACATTAAACTTGCATCTATCTGAAAATTAATAGTACACAACTACGAACCTTCATATTTAGAAATTTCTTCATCCATATCATCTTTCTTTGCTTCAGAAACAATCCATTTCTGTTTGAATCGTCCTTCATCATCAAAATGTTCAGCAAGGTAAGTATTACCTGATGGTGTAGGACTAACATATACTATTTCTTCATCAGGAACCACATCATCCTTCAAAATAGAAAAAAAAAATAAGTACACAGCAAAATGTTTCAATGTTGTCGAGAACAAATAACATTTCTTTCATATAGTATCATAAATTGAATACTGAAGTGGCAAATACACTAAAGCAAATATCCTTAATCCCTATGTGAACATACTTACTATTTCTTCTGTAACCACAGCCTCATCACTGTCATCTTCTGATAAGCACACAGAGACAAGACTCAGAAGAAGAATTGCAAAAATTGTCAGTCGAACCATTCTGGCACTTTTAAGTATGAAAGGAAGTAATTATTACACCTAAAACAAAAGCCTTGACAGATAAATGAAATAGCACACTCGGTTATTAAATTTACTAATTTACATTACTAATTTCATGATGCAAGGTAAAGAAATGTTTTAATTCTTATTGAAAAATGATAGTGAACGTAAGTCTGGCGCAGAAATGTAATAAAGTAAATCATATTAGTGATCGCTAGTATTATGTCACGTTGCCGCCGACTTACCAGTAATACTTAAATCCAATATTCAACAATTCCTTTATAACCTATAAAGCAACACGGGCATTTCTAATAACAAGACCACATCATCTCATTTATTTTTTGTCGATAGTTATAATACTCCTATAACACAGCCACTTCCAAATTCATACACAATTCTCACCCAACAAATTCGAGACTTCGAGCTTCCTCCCCTACTGGTTACGCGACCAGCCTTCTTCAGACAAAACCACCAATCACCAACAAACAGTTGGCCGCAAGCAACGTGAGCAACGTTGACACATAGCGCCGTTCAAAATAATTTTATACTCATCTCGTACTTCGGTAGAACCAGAATTAGTTATACTAATCTGTAATTATTTACCCATCTTTCAACAACCAAAATTAGTATATATTAATAAGCAGAAAGGTGATTTTGAAGAACTGAATCAAACATCTGGCAACACAGGTAACTTCCTATCAAGTGATTAGCCGATGATCCGCATTGTCGATCCGAAGGAAGACGTTCTTCTGATGTCCCAAATGTTGAATATTTAATCAAAATTTACGTTTTTCCTCATTAAATTTCCTCATTAAATAATTATCTTCGGCTTTAAAAATTGTATTGCTTTTTGAGAAGCACTTCATTGAGCGATAGACCTACTAGTATTGTTGGATTAAAAATTCCAGTAACAGAGGAAAGGATCATTCCTTTGTAGACTCTTGTAATTTCGCTTCTCGGTTTTCCGATCTCCTTTTCTTTTTTATGGTGTAATCATCGAAAATGTTTTCGCGAGTTGTAGTCCGTCCTCTCCCATCAAATAACATTTACAAGAGATCACGTAGCATTTCTTTGGCGGGAATTTAAACTGATTTCTTGTGAAAATCACTGGCACCAGCACAATGGAAAAGATACCACATAACACGTAGTGTACATCACATTATACGAATTGATGAATACCCTCATTTGAAAAAAAAATGGGCATTCATTCTCATTTTTCTAAAGGGAAACAAACTGGAGAAAAGCAGAGTGGATTTCTAGACTTTCACGCTTAACTCGGATATTGATTTAAAAAAATTGTTTTTCTGTCATTCCAGTTTCAGAATTATCAAGCCTGGTGGAAATTTTGAAGTGATTGTTTTGTAGTTGAAAACTATTATTCTTGACGGGAGTTGCTGGATTCCTGCTTTAAAACTTACTGTCTTCCTATTATTTGTTGGCATAGAGAGCTTGAAAACTAATGAGTCAAAAATGAGAAATTCTGAGACGAATGCTTTAGTACACAAAGTCAATGACTTAAATTTTGACATGATATATTTTCTCTCTGTGTTAGGTCCTTAAAGTCCTCCCAGAGAGCAGTATAATACAGAATCTTCCTCCAGTGTTGCTCTCACAGAGAATATAAAGTGGTTCCTCTAGCTGACAGCTCCAGCCAGGTCAGAAGTATCTGACTGGTTCTGACTTCTGACTCAGAAGTTATAGTGGATAGATGGAGGGAGCGCGGTACTTCATGATTTTGTATGGGACACAGCAGCCCATCCATATGTCTTCTAAATGTTATCATTTGAGGTGCAATTTATACACTAATTTGCAATGTGTTTCAAATATTTTTCCATAATAAATGGTAGTGATAAATCTTTTCACATTTTATTTTTTCAGAGGCAATACAGTATAATGATACAATACTAAAAATTCACAAAAATATTTAAATTCCAATTTTGAAAATAGTGGACCAGATTTGCTGTATGAAACAAAAACAAAATACACTATGACTGCCGAATCAGAATTACAAATATTCACATTGAATTGTTGGTTTGTATGCTTTTATCATGTACTGAATTTTTGTGCACCTTGAAGATTAGAAATACATAAACATGTGAATAAAATTGGTTTATTTTTTAATCAAATTTATTGTGAATATAATAACATCCCTCTTCTGTTCTTAAGCTTGGATTGAAATTGTGCTTTATTTCATTTGGAATGAATAATAACAGGATTTTTCCAATAAAACTAAACTTAACAATTAGAAAATGTAATTTGTATTAAATATCTCATTTTTGCAGGGGTATCCCAGTGATATCCAACGATCGATTAGGAAGATTCAAAGCGATAGCAGAAGTACTTGGTGGTGGAAAGTATGATCTTGTTTGCTTGCAAGAAGTGTGGGATACTCAAGATTACTTTTTTCTAAAGAAGTGTTTGCAGCAAGTTTTACCATTCTCACATTACTTCTACAGGTATTTATTATAGGGAAATAAATAACCACTATTTTCCAGAGGAATTAATATAAAGGTTGGCATGTAAAGAGAAAATAATGTTATTCTTTTAACAGAAGGTCATTTCTTCATGTCTTAACCTGATCTAAATGTAAATCAAAAATTTACAAAGACTGCATGTGTTTTCATTATGAAGGTTTATTGTTGAATATTCTAGTTTTTGGTATTGTCATTGATTTTTCTCAAGGCATGTGCTCATCAAAGCCTCAGCAAGGTCCTCAGATTGTTTATAACTTCATTTTTAATGTTGATTTATTTTTTCAATAATTTTTTGTGACAATTTATGGATTTGTTTTAGTGGAGTTTTAGGTTCAGGACTGTGTGTATTTTCCAAGTTTCCGTTTCAAGATGTATTTTTTCATCAGTGGTCTCTAAATGGCTATGTACATAAAATTCAACATGGTGATTGGTTTGGAGGAAAAGGAATTGGATTATGTACTTTGAAAATTCGGAATATGACTGTGAACTTGTATACAGCTCATGTAAGATATACATTTTCTGTGGCAAAAAGTGAATTGTCCTTTGGATGTTCTTTGTATTTTAAGAGATCTGTGTATTCTCAGCTTCATGCCGAATATGACCGCACCAATGATGAATATTTGTCTCATCGTGTATTACAAGCATTTGATACTGCCCAGTTTGTACGACTGACCTCAAAAAACTGTGATTTAGTAATTTTGGGAGGAGATTTAAATACTGAACCCTCTGATTTGTCGTACAGAATTCTTTGCTCTGAAGCTCAATTAGAAGATGCTTTTGTTCATGCAGGAAATGTAAGTTCTTGAAATGTTGGTATTATAAAATACAAATATTAATACCAATTAATGTTAGTCTTTTAAAGTAAGTCTCTAATATTGATATTATAGAATAAGAGCTCTGTTAGTTTGTTACCAATAGCGGTTCATGCCGATTCCTAGAATTTGAAAATGATTTTTGGTTATGATTTCTATTAATTTTGCATGCATGTACTTCTCTTTAATAATATTTTGTTCAAAATAATAATTATTTAGATTACAAGAAAAGGTTGATGCCATAACATTGTAATGAAATGGCTGTAATTTTACAATTAGGTTTATGAACTTTATTAGAATACAATTGAAACACATACATTGTAATTAGAAAAAAATATTGTATTTCATTTTGGAAAGTAATTGATACATTAATTAGGAAAATCAATTATTGATTTTCGTAATTAATGTATCAATTACTTTCCAAAATGAAACATGTGATTTTACAAGAAAGCTTGAGGACATCCATTCACAAATCTGATGTCGTTCTCTTCCTTTAATAAAGTTGCAATTAAAATGGTTCCCATTGTATTGCAGCAATGTTATGCACTAGTTTCAGTTAGTTATCTACAACAGTAAAAATAGCAGCCAATTTCTAGGTCTTTTTTGATAGTGTATAATATTGTAAAAACAAAACATGAGATAATAATTATTACATGAATGTGGTTGATTGTTGTTTTATATCTTATTTTTGCCCTATGTATTTATTTTACCACATTCAGTGCATTGTTATGTACTGACTATGGTAAAATAAATAGGACAAACATAAGATAAAAAATAACATGAGATTATTCTATGTGTAATCATTCTAATACTTATACATCGTTGACTCATGTTATTTTGTTAGATTCCAGAAGACTGCATTGGGACCAATGAATCAGATCGCAATAGTTATTCAGATAACCGAAAATTGCAGCTAAATCCAAGGGGAAAACGTATTGATTATGTTTTATTTAGAACTGGATCATCTGTGCAAGTATGCAATATCATTTTTATAATTTTCTTTTATCATATTTTGTCTATTCTTCTCAAGTTGAATTTTTACTAGTTTACCAAAGTAATGATTTTGTTATGGAAAGTGTATTGAAAAACAAGTTTGAGGGGGCACACTACAAATTATAAAAATCATATAAACTTTATTTTTTTATTCAATAAGAGAATTATTAAGCTCTGTATTCCAAAACTTGTTTATGGGTGCTTGCTTACTCTGGCATCAAGAGGTTGATCTCCTTTTCATTTGGGATGATTGGCAACAGGGAAAAGATACTTAGTTGATAGTAAATCATCAAAGGCCACATATAAATTTTTATGTGACTCGTGGGAAGTTCAGTAGGCTACATAGAACTTGAATAAGTATAGTTTGTTTATTTTATCTCAAGAAATATGTTATTCAATTTTTAATATGTAATTGAATTTCAGCTAAAGAAAATTAACTATGGATTGCCCCTTCCACCTCGTGTTCCTAGTTGCTCATTTAGTTATTCGGACCATGAAGCAGTTTCAGCTTCAGTCACTCTCAGCAGAAACACAGGAGGTAATGAAAAATAACTCAAGTTTTGAATAAGATTTGCTTCATTTTTAGAAAATTAGTTACTGTTTCAAAAGTATGCATATATTATTAGCTTCTGACTTCTCAGAGGTCTTCCCAACTTTAATTTCTTGTGTTAGTTTGTTTCTTGTTCCTTAATAGGCAGCTTAATAATGTTTGGAACTACAATTTTTAAAGCAGATTATGTCAAAATTAACTGTTGTTTTGGTACAAATTGAGTGAAGTAGAAATTGATTAAATTCATTAATTTATTTAATCTTAAAATTACTAATTAATTCTATGAGCTTTTAAATTTATTCATATTAGTTGCATGAAGTTAATACACATCCATTTATTTTATAGTCCAAGAGTCATCAAGTTATAAAATCGATGCTACTCTTCACAAACAAGCATTGAATGAAGGTTTGCTTGTGTGCAATGAAGCTCTTCAAAAGTTGGCAAGGGATAAGTATTTCTATTGGATAGCATCATGTACATTATTTTTGGTATTATTGTCCATTTGTAGCACAAGCCCACCTTATGAAATGCATAGCTTATATAAAGTTTTTCTTTCTCTTATATCAGCCCTTATGTGTTTCACTGGTTTCATGTGTTTTATATGGAATCGAATGGAAGTAAATGGAATCATGGCTGGAAAATTAGCAATGGAATTAGCCTGTTCTAAATGTCAGGGAGAAGTAGGTGAAGAATCTTCATCGAAAACAGGGCTATTTGAAGAGGGGCCAAAATTTTCTTAAAGAATTTAAATGACAGAGACAAGTTGTGCAAATGTGTTTCTTCACATGGTTGTGATTTTCAGTTTTATATTACTGTTGCTCGTTTCTTTTTTAATATAAAATGGCATGCAAGAAGATTGCCCTAAAACTTCAATATTTTTCATAGTTATACCTAGGATCCTCATTGTAAAGATTTTAAATTCTATAAAATCATAGGCTTATTGTAAAAGAGCGAATGCAGACTGGCTTAAAATGTTAAACAGTTGAATGTTGATGGTGCAGACTTATGCTGACACGTACTGCAATGAGTGTGTGATGGTGTGTTACTTATATATGTTGCACCAAACTTTTTTGTGCCTGATGTTTGAGAGTCACATGATTGACACACAATAGCATCTGCTGTTCCAGTGACATAATCTGCATTTGTTGCCACCAACTTGGAATGAATAAATGGAAGGGATAGAGCTTCATACCAGCTTAGCACTTCTGCCATGCATTTATGGTCCCAATGTCAAAAGTATAGGTCTGAATTCTGGTATGAATTTAGATATTTTAAAAAAGATCATGCCAAGTGCTCGTGGCACAAGCAGTAAACTGTGGCAATGATGACTTTGCCAAGGCCCAACTATCAAGCACAAGAAGACCGGTACTAAGTATAAGTGACCTAATTGGATGAGAAAAAAATGTGAGGTCAGTTTTGCTGCTGTGTATGGTAGGATTCTTGATAATTGTGAATGGTATTCAATAAGAGTGTGGTTAAACCAGGAGTAAAATGGACCATTCCAAAACTTCTTTAGAGTCAGTTAGTTATTTTCTATTGTGAAATTTTATGAAATAAGAACAAGGGCATGAATTAATTTTCAAATTAAGTCAACTGCCAATAAAAGTCCATCATCAATCTACTTAAAAAACAACTGAGACATAAGGCAATTTTAACATAAAAATAGTAATACAGATCATAGGTAAATTTAATCAAACATGTCATTTCAGAAACATAAACGTAGTTCTTAATAAGAGTCAGTCATTACCATAAATCCACTTTGACAAATTGCTCATTCTCCAAATGGTTCCTCTAACAAGAATAAAGAATTGTAATGAAGATCTTGTACTTCTGTTTTTATAGCATAAAAATAATTGCTCAGAAAATACGCATTATCTTAATTAAAGTTTTGCAGTGGTAAATTGCAGCTGTTATTGAACTGTTGGTGCTGACTGAATCTAAATTTTTGAAAAGATATGGGTATTTTATTGGTAATTGACCATGAATTATTATATGATTAATGGGTAGATCACAGATGGTATTAATTTCATCCCGTAAAGTTATTAAGTGTAATTTAAAATATTTTCTAGAATTTATATTTAATATATGCGAGTTTGAGTAAGAGAACAAGTGCACACATAAGAGAGAGTGGTTGACTTAGAAAAGAAAGTATTTGTTAGAACTTTTTGTTGGATGTAAATTTTAAAGTGTAATATTCAATGTGACAATAATGTTTCTTGGAGGCCAAACTTATTACAATTTCATATGAAGCATTTTAAAATTTGTTTTTAATACAATATGATATACCATACTTACCTGAATGTAAAACTAGGTTTACTTCAAAACATCTCATTTGAAAAATGTAAGGTCATCTTCCTTGGATTAAGCCTGATCAGTTGGGATCAATATCTTTACATTACCTTTCTCTGTCGAGAAACTTGAAAACCGATGTAACAATAAGTTTCAAAGGTGATAATAAAAAACTGTGTGTATTTCTAGTACCTATAAAGTTTTCTTAGCATTCATTGTGTATATGTTAAACGATTTGTTATTGAGGAGTATTTTTAATAAGCCAGCCAAAAGAGTGTCACAAACAAATTGCATTGTAGTAACTATGGCATACTTGCGTGGTAATAACATATGAATGATATTGTAATAAAGTGAAAATAAATGGATATCATAGATTTAATTTTGCTGAGGTTTAAGGGTAAGCTTACAGTTCATAGCTTGATCATACATATATTAAGCAATGTGAATTTCATGTTTATGGTAGTACATCAGAAAAAAATTTGGTATCACAGAAGGGTATGTTCTTAGATAAGCGAAGAATGTATTTCAATGTGAAAAACTTTCAGGGGAACTAAAAGTTAGAAGACAACCTACAGTGGGGGGGCAGAGAAACAATATGAAGTAAGAACAATGATAGTTGTAAACAAGAAGTAAACAAATACAGACAGAAATACAAGACAGTATTCTAGTCAATGAGAGTATTTGGGATTTTATTGTGACTGAATTGTTGGTTGAAAAGGGAAGAAAATTAAGGTGGGTTCTTACTAATTAGGGGGTGTCATATAGTCATTCATCTTATAGTTGGGTAAATGTGGTATTAATTTCAAGCAAAATATTTTTTAAACAACTCCTAGTAAAAGTGATTACTTTTAAGGCATGCAACATGTGCTTAAAGTTGAATTTTAAGCACTAGTGCTAAAAGTGAGATATTGCTCACATGTTCAGATAAAACTTATTTCATCAAAGTAAACAAAATATTTTCATGTGATTGCATCAGCTACTACTGACCTTGGTGTAATCTACTGACTGCATGCTTGAATTAAAATAAAATGAATGTCAGTAAGGTTGTCTTCAAAATAGTGTACGACACATAGCAAAAGTGATTTTATTTGCTCACAGGATTGTAAAATAATATGTTACTTTACCACTCGAATCATAAATAACTAATTGTGCTTGGAAGATAAACTAGATAGCTTTTCCTGTGCATGACCTGTTTGTTTAGAGTGTCTAAAAAAATGCATGATTGTGCATAAAGTGCTCAATTTTCAAATATACTTTTTTTAGTGTGTACAGAAAATTACTTCTGAAAATATGTTGTCTTTTGTCTATTGTTGTACATTGTGAGAATTGTTAGCAATTTGAAATTACTAAGCCCTGAAATTTTTAATTGTAAAAATTTTAAATTAAATTTTTGCAATCAGTGCTTTGGGTTTTACTGTTTAAAATATTTTTATAGAGAAAATTATAGGTTTCCATGCAAATAAAATTAAAACAGGCCGTATACTTGACTTTCGATATTTCTGACAATTGTTTTTTCATGTATTTAACGTGACACAAACAGTTAAGTACTCAAATTTTTCGTTGGCTTTCTTTGAACTATTAAGTGTCTACTTGTATGTGAAAAAATGTGTTCCACATCAGAACTTCATGGTGGTGATTTCCTTATGATTTCAAGGCATTTCTTGTACACTTTGACACCAGAGAACATGATTTACTCCCAGATTTACTAATTCCATGTCTAAATACAGTTTCTAACAATCAGTACTGTAATTAATACCGATATTTAGGTGCTTCATAAAAATGAAGTGTTTTTTAGACTTACAAAATTAACAAAAGTTGGATATTTACTGAACATTTCAATATTTTCCACCTTTGAGCATGGAAAACAGATGAAGTGTAAATCTATGAATCCAGGGGTTAATAATTACAAATTTCTTTTAATTTCTGCAAATAAAAAATTAGGTATGAATATTATATAACAATGTAAAATGTATTAAGTGATGGAGAACCTATTTATAACTGTTTGTACTTTAATGCTGAATCAGTTCTGTAAATTTTCAGTTAAATCTGAGAATGAAAAGCATCAAGATCAAAAGTAAATGTTAATAGAGGTTTTGCATTAGAAGATTGTCACCTGTTGAATATATTAATAAAAGTATGATAATAGTTTATTTTGGTAATCACTATTTTTGGAAAATAGTGAATATAATAATGATTTTTTACTGTTTCTTGGTACAAAACATCTTTACAAATTTGCAAGTATTGTTTGATATGTGAACACTGCAGGTCATGGAAAATGATTATTGAGTGAAAGAATCTAATTGTCTTCCCTAATTATTAAAGCAAATTTACTGGGAGAAAACAGTCCCACTTAAGATATTCTTAGTATCACTTGAAATTTAAAAAAAATTCTGTCAAATGACTGCGCATATACTGGTAAATTAATATTTCAAGTATGTCTAATGAAGATCTTCAGAATATTACTCTGTATAACATATTTCTAATTAAGTGTATTTCTCTAACAAGGAGTTTTGTGTGGCACCAACGACCAATTTGAAAACCATGTGGTTACATTTGATTCAGCCATTTTAGTTAAATTCATACTTACTATTTATTATTTTATTATATTTTCTTAGTATAGTTGCATTCCCTTTTTGTCTTTCAAATTACTTAAGAAATAAGCAAATTTATAGCAACTTTATTTTTTGTCTTTAGAATTAAAATTACTACATTGGGATATTTTAAGGAATTTAAGTTTATAAATTAATGACTAATTCAAAACATACCGAAGATGAGAAAGTAATTGATTTCTGTTTGAAAAATTTACTGTTATTAATATTGTTATATATTCTTAGTGCAGCTGGTTCTGTAACTGTATGTAGTTGTTCAATGTATACAAGCTACATATTTGATATATTTGTACATTTACATTTTATTGTATTAATGTTCTGAATCATTGGTGTTATTCTCTATAGAGGTTCTTACTATTATTTCTTTACTCTGTTTTCTTCATGCTACATTTTGTGGAAACTTGCTCAGACTTTCTGCTCATCTGTCTTGTACCGTCCAGTAAGGCATTTGCAACTAAAGGAAAGTAAGTGTACAGGTAGTATTTCCTTGCAAATATTTCAACTTGTAGACTATGACCAAGTTGTAAAGAAATATATATCAAAATAAAGACACTGCAGTTACTGTACTTTTAGTTTTTGTTCACATACCTGTTTTTTGCAAAAAGAGCAAATTTCTCCCATGTTTTTTCACTTTTCAGATCAGTTTAATTACTTTTCTGTTTTAATGGTGCCTTAATGTGGATAAGGATATTGGACCAATTTGCATTATTTAACCATTTCCAAAATTTGTACTAGTCTTTGGTGTTAAGAATACACTTCTACATTATGGAGAATATTAAACAAGCAAAAGTTAAACAGTTGTGATTTTTAAAAATGCAGGTTTTAATGAAAATCAGACTTATGCTATTTTATTAAGCAGATTATTTCTATTCAGGAAGGGAGAAAAAAATTGCTGTTTTGAGAAAAACATTGCCACTATTTTGTTAAGACTTTCCAAACAAAACTACTCTTACTTTAAAATATTTTAAATTATTTTTTTAATTGAAGATTCCATCCAAAAAAAATATCTATCTTGTAAATTGAAGTAGTTGGAAGAGGGGGGAAAAATGCATTTTCAAAAATTTCACTTACTCTGAAAAGTCCAGAGATTTTAAAGGAAATGGGTTCTTGGTTTCGTAAGCATTCTTTGCTATATTTGAAAAAGAAAAAAAAAATTGTGCTACAGCATAGCACAGATTACCTCCTACAAGTTTATGTTCTATGACTTTTTCACCTACTACTGTTTACATAGAATCAGTGCCAGCTTAGGCATGGGTAGACCGGGCAATCACCAAGGGGCAGATGATGGGACTGGTAGGGAAAAATAGTAAAAAATTTAAAAATAAATTAGAACTTGATAAAATTGTAACCATGATTTTATAACTCACAATACTAGTCTGATATTCCATACAATATTGAATTAATTTGTTTACCCTAAAAAGTCAATTAGTCATTACTTATAAGGTAGAACTCTATGAAATGAATCAAATGACACTAACATGAAATATGTTCTACTGAAATTCCTATTTGTTATTTCATGTATTTAACAAGTGATTTTATTAAACACAACAAAATGTTTAATGATTTAAGCTCACCATGGAGATTATATTATTTGATCACTAAATACTCATTCTGAAAACTATTATTTAAAATCTGTTTCCAAAAACCTTTTCTAGCTTAAACATTGTTATTTGTTGTAATAAAATAACTTGCATAGTATCTTGATACATCTTTCACATTTTCTTTCGGAGAGGGCGGGCTACGTTTCAGCATTGCCGGAGCCCACAACTGTCTAGCTCAGGCATTGCGCAGAACAGAACATGATCGTAGTGCTGCGGGGGGAAAACTGCGATATTTCGACAGGAAAAAAATTATTTCTAGTTTCTCCTAAAGGAAAAGTGGATAAATCTTTTTCATATCTGTAAAATATTACTTCCTCTAATCCACTGTGTACCAGAATCCACGTTTGATGGGCCGAAGATACCGAAATATCGACGGATGTCGCGGCCCTTTGAATTTGAAACGGATAATTTCATGTTTGGGGGGTACTTTGCCCGAAATCTCAACATTTTCAAAATTTTCTTAAAAACAGCTCCAAGTTTTTCCTCCAATGTTTTCCCAATACATAAATGACCGCATAAAGCAATACCCGCGCGTGCCAAGCATCGGTGTGTGCGCGGCGCGCAGAAGCTCGGTGCGTTTCGTAGGGGCCTGCAATTGGCTGAGGGGCGGGGCCTCGCTCCAATTCATTAATGATTGCCGGTGCGTCATCTGTTAACGTCGTTAGTCCCAGTTAGTGTAGTGCATATTTTTTATCGTGGGAAGTGGCAGTAATATCACACCCGCGAGCTGGCGAGATCATTTTGTTGGCTTGCGGAGATTTTTTCTTATCAGGTATCTCCCATCAGCGGGCACTAGCGGATTCAGGGGGCCATGGCCCGCCCCAAAAGGGTTAGTTTTCGTTTACAGTCCTTTATTACATTCCTCCCAAAATTGATGTAAATATTTCTTCGAATTATGCAATTATTTAAATAATAATTGTAAAGTATTATATCGACAGTACATAACTAACATAATAATTATATACACAAACAATATTATATTAACAAAAATCTACGATCCCCCAACCCCAAAAATAAAAATCATCGGCTGGATCCGTCCAGGCTAGCGGGGCACCGCCCCAGAGCTCTAAGCACTGTTCTCCCGACATGTGTGATAGTGTAGTGCATGTGAATATGTAAGTTCGGGGTGAGGAAAAGACAATGAAGAGGAAGGAAAGATCACGCATAGACCGTAGCCCGTTTGTTAGGGTACTGCTACGGCATTCGCCTGGTGTTGATCAGAGCAGCCAGCCGCTAGAATTCTCTTCCAGATAGAGACTGAATTTGTCCTAGATAACTAAACTAGAGTCGAAAATCGTGCCACCGTCGGGACTCGAACCCTACGACCTCCCTCCCAGCCAGAGGCACTGAAGTGATAGCAGTTTAACCATTTGAGCCTTCTTTGCCGGTCGTTTCACTCGAGTCCTACGAGTAAGTGAACACTTCGCTTCAAGAAACCAGAAATTTCTTTCTCTCGGTAACCGAAACGGTCGTTTCCTGAACCTTCGAGCACTGTTGTGCTTTAGCTTTGTGAGAAAAACAGACATTTTAGGTACTTTTTCTACAGCTTTCTTCAATTGTCGTTCACGTCTGCCCGAAGCTTTCGTTTTTGGGCCGTCTTTGTTAAATTCTTGTGGCTGCATGTCTTTGTCTATAGTGTGGAACAAGCTGACAGTCAACAAATTTGCTTCTTCTTTCTTTGGGCTCATTTAGTTCCATCTACCGCAAGTACACAATGCTCGAAGCACCGTCTCCCGCCACGCTGCTACACCAACCCAATTGCGGTAATCAAGCTCGAGCAAGTTTGGTGCACTGAGAGAGGAGAGGGTGATAGCAGTCATGAACCATCGAGCGCTCATGTCAGCGGTCCCTGCAATCTCAGGAAGGGAAACGGAACGTTGAGAGTAGTGGTGGCTCATGCTTAGGTTGCACAACCCCCAGATAATCGAAAAAGATCTCAAAATATCTTAAGAATATACATTTTCCTTTTAATGACATTTAATATTCAAGGTATTGCAGCATTATCGAAGTACAAGTATATGAAATCATTTTGAAACTAAAGAGCGTTCTACTGGCGCTCTCTCTGGTATCTGGTGCCTTGCCACGAATTGCACCACGCTCTTGGCTATTATTCATAGAGTAGAGATATATTGTGTAGAATGTGTGTGTGTATACACACACACACGCACACACACACACATTACTGGGTTTACTGCATTTACTCTTTGGCCCTTCGATTTATTACGGGGAGCACGGGCCTTTCGGTGGCAGAACCAGATGAGTGACGCTGTCTAGCTCTGTGCGGCGACGGAGGGAGTACCAATATTCTGTCTTCGTCTGACTCACTGCAACGTAATTTTATGAATTTTGCTTGTTATTGAAAGTACACAAGTTCAGTTAATTATTGACGATATTCAACGTATTGTGTATGATTTTGGAGAATTGGTTTTCATTTGATATTAGGTTCGTTCATTCAAACTGTACATTTGATGAGTTTTTTGTGTAAAGGTGGCCGTTCTGGATGGAAGTCCCTTAGTGTCTCGCGAAGCCAGTGTGCCTGCAGCTGGCCGGCCAGCAGTTTGCGAGCGTTCTTGGGAATACGAATGTGTGTCGATGCTCCTTCATTATATCCATATATAAGGCTGTTCTTTTTCTGCGGTGGCCGCTGGGATTCGCGAGTAGAGGGGGAAGCTCAAAGTGGTGGGGAGAAAGCTAGGAGGCAGCGCTCGCTCGCGATTGCCCTTACCAAACACATTAACCTACCGCACTTGTTAGCTAACTTCCTTCGAAATTAATTTGCTGTAGTGTCTTCGCTCGGTAGTAAAGAAACACCAAATTCACGGTTCTGCTCTCATAAGATATGGATGATGGTCCGGCTCTGCTCTCATCCTCCATATTTTTTCCACTGTCACTGATACACGTTTCCTATCATAACAATTTTTACTCAATATCACTGTCCTTACTATCGTCTGCGTCGTTGCCGGTAAAAATAACGATCTTTTATAAGATGCATTAAATCATTGTGTGGCGAATCATACTCGTATTGAAACCAGTGAGAGCAGATTCCACGTCCTTCCTCTCTTTATTAGGAGTTGAAAACGAACATCTTTCTCCCAATTGAATATAATTAATTTCCTTATCAATTCTGCGAATAGATATTTTCGAAACTCTCTTAAGAACTGCTTTGATATTTATAATACCTTCTTTTGCATCTCTCTTCATAAATTTGTATACTTTTCCAACTACTTCATGCGTCTGAGTGTGAAGACGTTCTTATGCAACTTGCTCTGAACCAGATGCATTGCAATGATCACAACAGAACTTCACACAAATCGCTTCACTCAGGTAGGGAAACGCAACTGAAAACTTCCACATCGCGGAGACGAATAGTCAGGGTCAATATTTACACTACTGGAGAAGGCTGTCAACAGGTCCTGGGAAGGGACACGCCGCGCTCCCCCCTGAACCGATAAGTTTAATGGACTCCGACAGCTCTGAGCCCTCGACATTCAGCGACCACGCTAAAATAATTTCACTGTACCAGTAGTGAAGTTTTAGAAATAAAATAATTTTATTTCTGTGAAACGTGTGTGCTTATTGCAATCTGAAGTTAATTTCTTTTAATGTCTTGTTTTTTCGAGTTTTTGAAACTTTGAAAATAATAGTCAAATTTGATAAGTTCTATCTCCTAAACTGGAAAAGTTACAGCAGTGAGATATGCACAGGAGATATATGTACGAAGTGCCCAGTGGAAATCAAAGCCAGAACCACGTGCGCTGATGTGCGAGATGTGCATCCCTTACATAAACACGAAGCATAAAATTTTGTACCGTAAAACGGGGTGACTTGCAACAAACGCGCCTTTTGCCATGTAAAGTTGGCAAGCACGCGCACGACGCTAGATAGAGCGTGGGAATTTTTCAATACTGTTGTTGACAGGATTTAAACATGCTTTGCGGTCAACAGTCACAAGAAGGGGTAGAAAAAAATTCTTGATTTCTGCGTGAAATGTTTGCTAACTGTAAGTATCCATATACTTATTGAAATAATAAATGTGTTGTTTAAAAACTAGATTTCGATATTCGATATGAATTTACTGCCAGTTCATGGTATTTCTCATGTTAATTCCGTACACCGGCTGCACTTACAGGTTAAATTTTTGTTTATCGCTGTTCGTTGTCTTGGAGTGACTTGAGGCATTGGCAGTGTCCAAGTGAAAGCCAGGATCCAGGCCTTACCGAAATTACGATGCCGAAAGCGTACAAAAGGCACTAAAATATAAACAAATCATCCTTTATTATCTCTGCGAGCCGTGGCTGAAAAGTTTACAATGCCAAAAAATTCCCTTTGTCGACGACTACAGGGGAAATATAATTATTCTCTAAGAAAAGTACCTTGTGGAAGGTATTATAGCAACAGATACAAGGAGGTTTCCGTTCACTACATTATATATCAGATTAATTGTTAGTATCTTGAAAGGAAGGGGAGAAATGAAAAAAGAAAAAGAAAAAAAAACCCTCTGTCAATTTCATTAAATTCATAAGGAATTCGGTTTTATGAATATTTCGTTTCCCTGCAGGACATGCAAAAGGATTCCGTTTCAGCGTTGGAGAGGTTCCGTTTTAAGATGTATTAAATGACATTTAATTTTACAGGCCGGCGACTTTTTGTGTTAAGGCAGGTTTCCGGCTAGTACAGGTTCCGATTTTAACAATACCATTTGAAGGCTTTTCATCTTTCCACGTTCAGGATGTTCTTAATTTGGAACCACCCACAGAGTTGATAAGAGACCGTCACAGATTCGACCTAACTACCCTGAGTATGTGATTCTTCTTTTATTTTCATTCTTTTAAATGTCATCTTAAAATTATTTATACTACTTTTAATACTTGAATAACATGTAATTACGTTGAAATATTGTTAAAAACAGTTTTGCTTGTCTCATTTTACTCCAGAAGCAGTGTTAAATGCGATAGAAATCATATTACATTGTTCTCACGTCACGCTAACCAGTGGGGTGACATGAGACATCGTTATTATAAAATCTTTCAGAATCATGATTTTCGTGAGACTTTTAACTCATTTAATACCCTAGGTATAAATTGCACTACCCACCAGTAATTAATGTATCAAAAATAGAGAAAGAAAATTCTACCAAAGAAAAAGTTCCAAATCTGTCTCGAATCACCCCGTTTTACGATAAGTAATGTTTCAATATTAACTTAGTTTTTATTAAACTTAGTTTTAATTAATTTACTTGAATTGCTTAATATTTGTTATATGAATGGGTGAAAACCAGTAAGGTATAATGGTAATTTTATACATTTTGAGAAAACGTGTTTATTTTAGGATATATTTTAGAGGAAATGTATTTTCGTGATCTTAATGAACAATTGAAATGCTGTGGTTTTAATGATGAAACAAAGCACCAAGATTTTACGATATTGACTTAAAATATACAGATTTCTTCGAATTTATAAAATGTCACTAATACCGTTCTGGTTTTCACCCTTTCATATATTCGTATTTTTCCGTCATGTGATGGAGTCTATTGGGACACCAGCCGCCACTGGTTGGGAGGAGGGCTGCCAACACAACGCAGAGCACGTGTTGGTGAAGCTATTCTTTATGAACAGACAAGAAGGCAAAAATCTGTTCCGAGATATTCGATGAATTTGAAACTCAGTACACCCCGCCACCAAGTTTCCCGGCCAGGACGTCTGGCCAAATGTAACTCACGCGAGTAAGCTCCTTTTGAGTTCAGCGAAGATCGACAAACTAAAATACGAACAAATTTGCCCATCGCTGGGAAAAGCAGTCGCTGAACCACAACTCTCACAGCAAACGAAAGTTTCTATCAGCATTATCTGCTTGCAGCAAGGGTTTCTGGCTGCCAAAATATCGAGACGCCTCTTTCTCGATGCAAGGGATTTTTGTGGACCGCAGTCTCTGCCTTTCTCCCATACGAGAACGAGAATATGCAGAATTTAACTGCCGTTTCCACTGCTTTCTCTTCCTTTTATTTGTCTTCGTTCATTTTTTAGATGCCAGTAGGTTTTGAGGGAATTTGTGGGTGTTTAGGGGGGGGGGAGAACACGAAGTGAATCAAAATGCAGACATTTCACAACATTCCATTAGAGTAATAAGCACACGCCACAGGAAAGCATAGCGATTACCCTCATGTCACGTTGACACGTCCGCCGAGATATTTCATCGGGGGCTGGCGACTTACAAATTGTCTGTACTTACATTTAAACTAAAATTAATATAAAACAAGGAGTAGACATTTTGCTGCAAAAACTCCTGTATGTATGAATTTACAATAGCATTTTCACTAAGATATTATTAGAGGGCGGATTTCAATTAAATGTAAATTTTTTTCCTTTTCACTTTAAAACGATGCTGTTTAGTATAGAAATTCATTTTATGTTATGCCAAAACGAAACGACCATCTTTTTTTCCCTTCATTTTTCGTCGATTTCGACCAAGACATTTTTTTTTAGCTTTTTACATAATTTTTAATGCATCTTTCGCTTATTTCATCGATTTTAATATAATTTTAATGGTTGTTGCTTCAAACAATATTTACGACGTGCAATAAAATGTTCACCACAGGCTTCCTGGGTAACCAGTACTTTTCGGGAATTGCTGCCGATATCACTAACGGTCTTCAGCGTTTCCCCAAAAATTTTAAGATCTCAGAGAGTAGAAATACCTTACTAAAATAATGGAACTTTATTGCACACCTTTCCGATTCTTTGCCAATTCCATGTGGAGTTCTGCAGGGATCTATTTTAGGCTATATTCTCTTCCTACTGTAACTACTATCGTTTATATACATAAACGATACTACTGCTACTATCGTTTATGTACATAAACGATATGCCCTCGACGATTAGAAACGGAAGAACAGTTCTCTTTGTGGACGACACGAATATTCTTTGCAACAAAGAAACCGTAAATAGTACAATAACAGATATTTCAAATCGATTTCGTAATAATAAATTAATAGTAAATGGAAAAAAAAAAAAACTGTTTCAATGCAATTCTCCATTTCAAATAAACAGCTCGGCACTTCACTGAAAATGAACAGCGTGCCATTGACTGATGTTAAAGTAAGAAAATTTTTAGGTCTTTCAATTCAGTCAAACCTCAAATGGAACATCAATTTAAACGAATTGAACATTAAAGGAAGTTCTTTATGCTACGCTTCCAGAATTCTTTCAAATTCAGTCAGCCTTCGCACTGCTCTTGTATATTTTGCAAATGTTCATTCCTGCCTGAGATATGGCATAATATTCTGGAGAAATACATGTTATATCTCCCAGACTTTTAGATTACAAAAAAGAATTGTACAATAAGCAAATCCCACCCACGTGCTTTTTGTAAGCCTTTCTTTATTAATCTAGGTATTTTATCATTACCACAGCTCTTCATATATGAATCAGTGGTTTTTGTTAAAAATGACTTAAGGGCGGGAATATATTTTCAGCAAATGCTGTTGTCTATAACTCCAACACTCAACATAGTAATCATATTCATCAGGTGACAGTATCAACAGCGCACTACAAAAAATTTGTACACATTACATGTACACAACACCTTCCCAGATGACATTAAAAGATTAAATTTGATACAAAAGTTTAAGTCCCAAGTAAAATCTTTTCTGCTGCACAACTGTTTCTATACAATTAGAGACTATACCACAAATTCAAAAGGAAAGTAGTAATAACCATTTGTATTGTATAATTCTAAAGAACCTGTAACAGGTATTGTACTTCAGCTTCTGAGTCAATGACCTCCATCTTGATCAGGTTTTTGTCCAGTTTTCCTGATCTTTGAGCAAATGCTGAGATGGCTCCCTTGTTTTGCTTCTGGACATACATGTAACTTCAAGTAACTTCTCCCCATAGCATGTCACACAAAGTTTTTAACTGTTTTTGACGTAAATAAATAAAATAAGCCTTTTCAATTTGTTTGTTCATATACCGTAAAGTCGGCCATTGTGAGTATTAATACTGTGTAATCTGAGGTTCCTATGACACCTATCGACGTCTTTGTCAGTTCAGCCGATTTTGCAATAAATAAAGGCAGAGTTCTTTCAAAGAAGTCCAAACCATAAGTTTGCAAGCGGAGTACACTTGAACAAAAGGAAGAAGCCTCAATTACATCAGTAACAAATTCAACAGCTTGAGTTAGATGAAATTTTTTTTTCCATTATCCACAATGTGTCATGATTAACAGTCTTGCCCAAAGCGCTTTTCATTGCCAAAAAGTTTTTCATAATAGTCAGTAATGATCAGACATGGAAGATACTGTACTTTTCATAGATTCATAGTATCGCAATGAATACGGCAACTCCCCAGAATGAGTCAACACCATTACTCAACGAGTCTCACCTCCAAATAGCTACTGTTTCTGTATGTTGTGAACGACATACATTTAAAACAAAATTATTTACAGTAAATGAAATCAATACACAAGTTTACTTTTGTAATAAATGTATTTAAATAATTCATTATTTTACAGCAACATCAGATATGTACAACAGACACTTGCTTCCATGTTATATCAAAAAACAATATTATTTACAAGGTCTTTAAAAATAGCACGCATTACTTAAAAAATTGTAAAAATTACACAATTTTAATATTCCATTCACATACATAATTTAATACAAAAACCTCATAGTTCACTTTGAATCAATAAGAATTCCAACACAGAAACTTGCCCCAAATTAAATCTTAAAACACTTGTGCAACAGAGATACACAATTAAATAATGACTCTAATGAACAAATCAAGTACATCAAGTTATTATTTGTGTTTGATTCACAGAATCAGAGACTCTGAGCTAAGGAAGACTGGTCCAGAAAATTATAATATGATTGATTTTTCTAATTACAAATAATGGAATAACGATATATGCCAGGTATAAATAATTAAAAAGTGCAATAAATGTGTTTTAAAGGCATATTTTTACTCATACGCAAATTGCTAATTTATGCTTGCACTAAGACAACAAACACTTTTTTGTCCTTAACATGTTCCTCATCCAAAGAACACAATTATTATGCCTTCTCCGAGAAAAATGTGGACAGTCCAGAAGTTTACAATCAGAACAGTTTATTGGTTTATATTGCTAATAGTCCAATGCCTCTTACTATCCTGAAAATATCAGCCTGTATGTCTACAAACTAAATTAAATGTAAACTAAATCAAATTAATGAATTTTAACATTCACATAACTTGAAAACACCATTCAAAGCTTATTTTCAATAGTTAGTAATTTCAATACACCTCATATTATTTTGGTCAGGGAGCAACTTACTAAAGCAGAACAAAACCTATAAACAGTACTTAGCAAAGTTGCAAAAAATATTAGCACTTAAGCCCACTTAACAATGCTTCTCTCATAGAGTTTTAGTACAATCAACAAAGCACCAAAACTAGCATACAACCTAACAATAAAAACATCTGTGTACAGTCAAATCACCAACATGAAAATGAAAGAACTTGTAATTTTTTATTATTTTGAGGAACCAAGGAAAATGGCTAAGAAAAAATCTTTCACTTTTACTATTTAGCATTATTATGTAACTACTGTGCATTCTAAAAAAGACACTGTCCAAAAATGTGTTAATTTAAAATCAGAAAACTTTTCCTAAAACACTAGTTCAAATTTTCAAATATGACAATTCCTCTTTAGTTCTCACAGCCAATACTGTAATTATAAGTTTTCACATTGACTTTTGTTATCTACAGATGAACTTTGAAGTACTAATAAAACAGGTCAGAATAAAATAATATTTTTTCGTTTGAATTATTATTGAAGATAATATTAACTAAGAGAAATTATTCAATTGGAAATAAGTTGGACTATCAATATTGAAGATTACTGGTAATTAAACCCATTTCCATTCCCATTTATAATAATATCATCATAAAATTGTATCAACCAGAATATTTAGGTTTTGAAATCAATTGATTATAATTCAGTAATTTTACTACATTGCTTATGAAAAAAAATGCATTGAACAAATTAAGGTATTTTACAACAAACAATGCAATATCTATAAGTCTAATTTGGATACGCTGATCAATATAGTCTCACTTTCTGACATGCTACTACCCAGATTTAAGAAAATAAAACCACAGATTTTCTGCCCAGGATGAAATGTCTTAATTAGGATTTTTTTTATTGTTGGTTACATACCAACCATTCTACATTTCAACTTCTTTCAAGAAGTTTATTTAAAAATAAATTTGCAATCAAAACACGCAAATACACTAATGGTTCACTGATAATACTCATTTCAATGGCTTTTGTGGTACTAAGGAACTTGTACAAATTAAAATTTGTTTCTAATATAACTTACTATACACTCACTTCATTTTTATCACATCTGCCAAATGTGGCCATGCACACTTATGATCACAGAAAAACACATCTAAATCATATGAAGAGCAAGTCAATAATTTTATGATGAACACATTCTCATTTCAGGAATAAAGTTACAAGCCAATTTGAAAAGTGTAAGTAAAGAACTGTAATCTGACATTCTTCACCAATAATTTTCTTATTATCGAATCATTCAAAGTGATTAAGAAAAATATTAATGAAATATGAAATGAATTCCAAAATTTTCAGTTTCTATTGAAAAAACACACAACAGTTACTACTTTTTATAAAAGTACACTTGATTCTGAAAGGCAACAGTTTGTTCAATATATGAATACAAAGTTGAAAGAAATAGATAACACTAAGAAATAAGTACATACCATTATTAATATAATGAGAACTAAAAACCATTAGACACATAAAATGTTTTTATACATTTTGCAACATTATTCCTTGAATGAGATGCTCTAAAGTACCAAATTCCAAATTTTCACACTATACGTTCTGCTAAATTTGTAATAAACATCCTTTGTATTTATTATAAATTCAAAAAACTATTTTTTGCATTCTTAAAATATTAATGCATTATTACGAGTAATCAAAATAACAGAAATAAACATGAAAAGTAACATTAACATTAATCAAAAGCATTATGATCATTAAGATCACATAGCATTCAACGCAAATAATATGTCTCAATTAAAAATGTCAAGAAACGTAAAATTATTCAAATACTCCAAGAACCAATTAGGTACAGACATTTCTGCAGTTGTCTTTACTCCAACTACATCACATTATATAATATAGATGCAAACGGTCATTAGAATGATTAATTTTTAACTTGCATCTTTTTCTGGTTTAGAATGTTCTTACATAACAACCACTAAATTGAAATTAACCATTATCACACAAGAAAATATTGAAACGGCTTCTATATTCTTCAAAAGTATTAAATTAGGTAAAAAAATTTAAAATTAGCAGATCATCTTCACATCTCTATCAGGATATAGTTACCAAAAGAGGTGTCAGTCTGTTGGTAATTTGAGAACATTTTAGGCACTGTGGTGAGGAGAATAAAAGAATTGGCATCAATAACAGCCATCCATCCAATCTGCTTTTTGCGCTGCTTGAGGTGCAGTGTATGCAGACCTAGAATTAGGAAAATTGTATCTTACATATGGAATAGGGAAATTATTGAACAAATTTGATAAGAGCAATGCAATGAAGTAGCATTGCCTTTGCACAATGATGCCTTTTGGTCCATGCCAAAAAGCAATGAGTTTCATCATAATGATATATCAAATGCAATTATTTTAACTTTTTTCACAATTATTACTCCATTCAAATGTTTCCAATCATTATATATATTGATCTAGGATGTGTGGCATTATGCATATGATTGATAATTACACATTACAATCTGTTGTTCTTTTTGTTAGTTCTATTATTTGGTAAAAAACTGGCTGGGAAATTGCTAGTTTTGAATTATAAAATATTTTAATCAGACACTGACGGCATTCACTCAGAAGCAGAGAAGTAGCATGATATATTGTATCGTTACTTCTAACACAAAAAACCGAAAACTGAACATAATTATACAGAAAAATATGCAAAGACTTGAATATTGTTTCAAAGAGACGAAAATCAAGATGATTTGCAAGGAAAAAATTTGAATGCCTATTGGATTGTTAATGAGTTACTGAAACATGCTGAACTTTTGTGAAGTTGTATTTTAGCTTCATAGGTGAAATAGTTTTTCAAACTGAAGGGTTATTTGACCAAGTATAATTTTACTGTATAATTATAAGATTTTTGCAATTTGGGAATCACCATTTCCTTTTTCAATAACAATTAAATCGCGCTTACTAGTACAACTTTTTCCTAAGTAATTTCCACTTTGCATTTATTAATAATGAGTAGGTAAATTACACCCAAGTCACCAAAATTTTTGACCCCCACTTTTTTCTAGAAGCTTCAAAACATGCTCTTTCTGATGAGATATATATGTAAAATCATTTCATGACAATAATTTTCTGTAAACATGGGTTAAAAATATACTTTTCACACTTTTTGCAAAAATCAAATTTACCCTTAATATTTTAGTCATGGAATGAGCTAGGAGATCAAAACTATACATTCAAAGGCGATGATAAGTTGAGATATTACATGCTAAATTTCAATTTTCTCATTTGAATACTGAGGAAACTAAATAGCCTTAAACTCTAGAAATGTATTGATCAATAATTTTTTTCAGTTTCTTCACTTTTTGCCACATTTTAGGCATTGTATACCTCCGATGGTCAATCGAATTAACTTTTTTGAAAGCTTTAAAACCTGCTCTTTCTAAAAAGTTTGTGAAAGATATTTTTCCTCAAATGAAGGTGGAAATTATCCTATTTTGGGACTTTTTGCCACATTCAACTTTAAACATAATTTGTGAAGCAATGATACAAGCTAGGAGAATTGAATTATGCATTCAAAGACACTCTTATGTTGATATTTTGAGTCAAGTTCTAGTTTTCTTACTTGAATATTATGAAAATTAATCAATGTTAAAAGTTCTGTTGTTTATTTAACACTAATTTTTCAAGTGAATTTCCTTCTATTTATCCACTGTGCATTAAGAAATGAAAATTGATACTAATTCCATTGAATAAAATGAAAAAAGTTGTACTAGCAAGCTCAATTTTATTTATCAATTACAGAGAAGAAAATATTCATTCCCAAAATTGAGAAAATCTTGTAATCATCTAATACAACACCACCGTTTGAGGTCACAAAACATTATATCTAAAAAATTGTTCACCCATGAAGCTAGAACGTCACAAAAATTCCTTTGAGATTTGGTATATTCAGTGTATACAATTTCATCAAAATGCGAAATGGTTCTGTGAAGAATTCCGAACCACTTGAAATGAACTGTCACAAAATTATTTCTTTCTTCTATGTCTGCTGGATCCAAACCACATTTTGTGAAATCTCATGGTTACAAGCTATTTCCATTTGAAATATTTAATGTAGATTTTAAAGGACTCATTGCTTCCCATACCAGAAATAAGTAAAGGGCGTGTTTTGAAAGTAAGTACCATTTTGGAAAAAACCTTTGTAGGGGAAAAGCAATTTTTCTATGCAAAATACATTACATTAAGAAAATATTTCCATCTTAAATATTGAAGATGAAGGACAGGTCCCAAAACAAAATCTCAACATATGTAATTCCAAAGACTCTAACGGATCCGGTCTCTTTTTTGGTTACAATATCACTCAAAATTATGTGGATACCACTCCCATTTAAAAAATAAGCTTGTACAATGTATTAAAGATTTAGTTTTGAAGATCAGATTTTAATCAGAAAAATCTTTAAATTCAACAAAGTAGTTGAAAGTGGGCAAAATAGTAGATGAGTTGAATTTGCAGTTTTCTACATTTCTCTGAAAATCTATTCTGCTCCACTTTCATATGCATCTTATGCTCTATTAAAAAAGAAAGAACTTTGGGGGCATTTTTTAAAAAACTCCTGTACATGAAGTAGGCACTAGTTTTTTACAGGAACACAGACAATCAGACTGACAACAGGTAGGCAAATAAAAACTGCAGACTGCAGGAAAGAATTGATAATTCCAGAAAAATTATTGAAAATCATTTGTAGTAATTCCAATCGCAAATACTATTAATCGAGGTAAATAAGCTGGAAGGTTCTGTATGTGATTTTCAAATTTTTAACTATTAAACAATATTTCATATCTCTTATGGGAGTTCTAAAACCAACTGTCACCTATGAACCATCAAATCAACTGTTGTCTTTTGGCGCTTATGACAATTATAGAAGTGCCAATTCTCTGAACAATCCGGGTGGCGCAGGTGGTGTCGGGTTGGGACTCAGCGTTTCGAGGGAAGGGCAGTTGGTTCAAGCCTGGCTCAGGGGTAATAATTTGTCACAACTCTATAGCCGCAGAAAACTATTGAGAATTTCAGAAACTTAATTGAAAATCATTTGAAGTAATTTTACTCACGAATACAATCTATTAAGATTCTAAATAAACTGGAAGTGTCTGTATGTCAGTTCATGTTTTGGAATTTTAAACAAGTTTACAACTTGCTTGTCCTATTTGTAAAACATGTCACTTTAAATCAACCGTTCAATATAATATTCAAATCAAAATAATATTGTGGAAGGTTTAGAAACATTGGGAGAAAGCATGTGCTTTGGCAGCCCCACTAGATTAAAATATAGTAAATAAAATAGCATCGACTTCTTAATTATAATTCCAAATAGCATCTGCACATCAAATACAGGTAATCTGTTGGGTAAAACATGAGCTGTGAAATCTGACCCCACAAGAGTCCACATAAGTAATGAAGAAACAGAGTCAAAGGGTTAAAGATTCGTTAAATGCTACTGGTCCTGCAAGAGTTCTCTAAACGAAAGAAAGCAATGCAAGAATGTTCTAAGTTTAAAGATTCAATAAGTACTTTCCGCTTTCTTCATGGGCAATAAAGTTGAGGCAACCATATTCCTAGCACTAGTTTTTTGTTACTGCTTTGGTGACCATTTGAATGTTTGCTAATGAGATAGGTCATTTGGGGGCCAAACCAGTTATAATTAAAAAGAAACATCATTAAAATATGTTCAATGACAACAATGGGAATCAGCGTTATCCATTTATGAAAGATACAAACAATAGGACTTTAATAGGAATGGTGAATGATGAATAGGCGCAGGAAAATAGTATCAATTTTTTTAGTAAAGAATCAATTATGGATATGTGAGGAATTTCCATGAAAATAACAAAAATTAGAAAATTACATGGAGACCGGATGCCACGAATTCAACAGTGTCAGAGGCATATAGGTGATTACCCAATTAGGAGAGGCGTAGACATGAAACAAGGAGGGGGTTGACGCAAAGGTTACGTAGAAGAAACAATTTTGAGACTAATACTGTGCATAAAGAAAGACAAGTGAGCAGCACAGTTCATGAACTGCTGCGGAAGAAGACCTCGAACTATGATTGCAGTCGGATGTATCAGTTTAGTGAGAATTGCTCAAACACTAGTGGCAGAAGGATGATAGAATGCAGTAGTCAGAGAGAAGTTTAGAATTTAATTGCAAGCAGATGTATGAGTTAATAGTGGATAAGATTTTAGAATGGCGAAGAATGAAGGGAAAAAAATAATCTTGTACTGAACGAGACACATGCCTCATGGAAGGACGCTGCTGAGGACCAGAGAGGACGACAGAATATCAGCATACAAGAAGGCAGAGGAACAAACGGAAGTGAAAAATAAATTATAATAGTTACAACATGTATTAAGACCAAGTATTGTCATTAGACGTAAGTTTATTAAAGCTAACATAGTAAGGTCATGTATGTAAGGGGATGTATCAGGGTCATGTATGTAAAGAATACGTGTAAATACAAAGTAAATGAGAAAAGCCAACAGGGAAAGATTGATGGGTTATTCCTGTTGTTGTTTTTAAGAGTATTTATTGTATTTGATGTTCTTTTGAAGCCATTTAAAGAGAAGTTAAATTATAAATGTTTTACAGCTGAACAAATTTGTTTGATTTCATAAAGGTAGCCAGAATTCATATAATTTAAACTTTATTGAAGGTAAGTATTCCTCACATATAGTTTTGTCATCTTGGTTCTCTAAGGAAAGCTCTGTTGAACCACAAAATAAATTCTATGCAGTGGTTATCCCAGTCGAACATTTGTGTTATTGTTTAATAATTGGAATTGAAGAGTAGTGGGCATAGATGGAATACATTATATATAAAATATTAGATTTTTATAAAAATAAAACTCAGTTCAAAAAGGATAATTCCATTACTTTAATAACATTCAAAAACAGTTTTATCTTTTTGAAAAAAAATCTCCCTCCATTTCTTTTACTTTTTTTCCATTGTGGACCCGACACAATTACGAAGTTGCTTTACTAACCTATCGAGTACACACACAGGACAGAAGACACATGGACCAACAGACAAGAGCATTTGAAGGAAGTTTGTAGTTGAAGAGTCTTGTGGAAAGGTAAAAAAGGCATAGTAAAGGGATCATTAAATGTCACTTTTGCAACAACCTATTCTTTAAAGGGCAATAATAGTTTTACAGATCCATTTGTTAACAATGGATAAAATGTTTTAGATCACTTTTCTTGTAACCCATCATCGAGTTTTTATCAAAATAATATCCAGAAGTCATTGGAAAAGAATTTATGTGGATGAAACAAATCACTAGTTTAGAAATACGAAAATAGTTGATAACTTTTATGGCTTTAAACTACAATTGACATGTCAACCACAAAACAAATGAAAAAAGCTTTAAAATATTCATTAGTCAACAAAAACCTAATTTACTTTCTTTTATTGTTCATTTCATTTTTTACGATCTTATCAGGAAAGAAAGAAAGAATGAAAGAAAGAAAAAAGAAAAAAAAAACAAAAACAAAACAAAAATGAATTTATAGCTAACCTCACTCTTGGAGCAGGTATGCGAGACGCAGGTCTAGGAATGTTACTGGCTCCTGCTGTGGATGGGCGACTTGCAGTTCCTGGACGGACTGTTGGAGGTCGCAGACCAGACACTACTCGTCGTTGTCCCCCTCCGGCCAACTTGGTTGCAACCTAATTATAACAATATTAAGTTATTTCTCTTGTTGCAGCAAGGTTCCATGGAATTTTATAGAAGTCAGATTAAAAACTTGACAGAATTAAATTATAACATAGCTCTTTAATTTCTGTAAACTGCCCTGGAATGTAGCATTTTAAAAATTATTACCATATGCACAATTTTTATCACATGCTAGAAAGTTGCTGACAAATACAATAATTATTTAATACAAAAACAATACCTTTTTGCATAAACCAATTTAACATTTAACAAAACAAATTAGTTATAACAATTTACAGTTCATCACAAATTATTCATCTAAAGAAAATGAACATTCCATGCCTCAAAATGTTGGGATATCACACTAATGCATTTGTGTAATCACAGTTGCATCATGACTTTCACCCAACAATATAAATATTTATTCATGCCAAATCTGACAGCATGTTCATCTCAAAGACTAGCTGAAAACAGCCACACTGGGGAGCTTAAAATCAGATTCACCTTTGATACCGTAAGAGCAGGCAATATCAATCACAATTTGCTAAATTGTACATATTATAAGATCTTTATTTTTGTTATAATATATCTGCTACAATATTTTTAATGATTATCGAGCAGAATGAATAAAATCAACTAGTGGAGCTGCCAAAGCACATACTTTCTCGCATTGTTTCTAAATGCTCTGCAACATTATACTATTACATAAAGCTAAAGTGTTTCCAAGCAGCGAATTATTTTTCCGCTCAAACACTCAAACTCGAAAACTAAGAGTTAACGTGCAGACACTCGTACTACTACTCCGCAGAAGCGTTGCACGAGTCGAACTCTGGCAAAGGCATATCAAGGTGAATGCCTGATTCAGGTAAAAAAAACTTTAATAATCAAAATATTCGCTAGAAATTCTAAAAGGCTCTAGTCTGATCAGATCAATTACGGAATATCAACTTTGAAGATAATCAACTGAGCAGTTAAGTCACTAGTGACCGGCAGACGTTTAGCTCTCAAACGATTTTTCGGTTTCAAGAACCAACAAAACATGGATTCTTGCTACATCACGAGTTAGAGGATTTTTTTTTCTAAATTTATCAACAATTATGTTACTTGAACCCATGAACAAGTTTTTTTCTGGAGAAATTTTAGCGCTTGCTGGTGCAGGATTACATAACTTTCTCTTCTTACGAAGAATTCGTAAGGCGAGAAAGTAAAAATCATTTGCAAACTAGCATTTTTGATTTACTACATCCAATTCAAAATAATTCCTCCACTGTTATAGATATTATTATTTCAGAGCTACAGAAAAATATCCGAGTATTCAAATTCAAAATTTCATTGTCATTAAGCCTCAAAACAATCTGTTATTTGTACTGGTACAGTTTTTATTAATAACTTTTGCAGATTCGTCTCTAGTTCAATTGCCTTGATTCTATGGTGCCTATGCACATTAAATATCTTTGTACAGTCTTGAAACCATTGAATGCGCCATCCACCGTTTTCTTTTCATTCCATTCACATTCTTTATTTGTATCCGTTGTCATAGCACTTGCTTTCTTTGGTTTGGGAAGTGTCTTCTGACCCTTCACTGCATTTTCATGTCTAAGTTAGATGGGACTCTACTAGCTCTTCCTTGTTGGCCTTGGTGATGAAGCATTCATGCTCAACAGAATTGATGAGATAAAGCAATTTCTTGAGGTAATATCTTAATTCTTTTCATTACTACTAAATGCTTCGAAAATAAATCTTGAGGAATCCTGCTACAGATGTAAAATATTTTTTCAAGGAGTTGTATTTTTTAAGTTCACTTTAGCTGCTGTTGAAAGTTCCCTATAATCGAAATTTAAGAACATGAATATGACTGAACAAGTTATCATTGATAAACAACATTAGATCTTCAGGTCATTGTATAAACAGATCCATGGTTTCAGTAAATCAAATCACAAACATATCTATTTAACAATATCAAACCATTCACCCACATCACTAGTCATTTATGAGTTATAAAGATAAATCTTTAATCCTGTACGGAAGAAGCAGTGAGCTATCCTGTTGCAGCAAATAAATAAACAAATATTTAAGCAATGCTGAATATTCAGCTAATTACCAAAAAAATAAAATAAAAACTGCCAATGAAAATGAGGGGGAATTTACTCAACTTTGAAAAGTTGTCAGAGTAAGTCTCTTATGTTTTGCATCACATAATTCTTCTCTAAACTTATCTTCTTATGAAGTAAGTTTATCAAAATCATATAAAAATTAGTCTCTCTTGCATTAATTTTGTTTTTTAATGGAATGTGTAAATAATTGGATTTGTCTGCTTATATTTTTTTCACCTGCTTTTACGGTAACAATTTACAACACACTATCATGTAGAAAACATTCAAATTTTCACTGAAATTTTTGGGCAAAGTATGAACAAAAACCGTGACACAAAACTAAAAATGGTAACAAGTTCTTTGGATGTATTTGAGGTCGAACACTCGCACTCTTATTGAAATAGAACTCTCTTCGTCAAATATTAGAAAACTGAAATAATTATAAAGAATTTTTTCACTGAGTATTCATCTAAATCAAAGAGGTTTTATAAATAAAATAGCTGTTTTGGCTATTTGTTTTGAACAAATGGGATTCGATTACTAAAACGCCTCAATTCACTAATTCCTGGTACAACACACTTCAATACTGACACAGTTATAGCTTGTTATCCACTGGATGTGTTAGTTCACGTTTATTGTGATCCAAGTACACACAGCCAATCAAAATCAAAACCACCACACAGGAACACGAAGTTCTTCATAGAACTCACCCGCTCACTTTCCATATGTGTGCTTTGTTCCTGGGGTGTTTCTTTTGAGAAATTGGGTAACATGAACGCTGCTTAAACATAAAAATTGAATTTTATCATTACATACAATACAGCTAAGAACTAATCTAATTAAGGCATTAAGTAAATTCTTACATATATGATAAATTAATGCAATGTGAATTTTATGTATTTTTATTGTAGCGTGTTTATTTTAATTAGCAATAAGTAGTATTTTGAAATAATGTTACATGTTAATTTACCAGACTTCTCAACAAAACTTTAAATACTTCTATATTCAAGCTCATAAAACAAATCATTTATTAGAGTCCAAAAATTACAGAAGATGTACAAGAAAATGAGAACAGTTAGTCAAATATCTCAAGCATAAGAAAACTACCTATCACTGTCCAAAGACTAACTATTCATTATGAATCAAAATTGTTTCTTTCTGACAAGAATTTTCTTAATGAAATACTTTATATTTCTGCAGCATTAGATGAAAAGGATTTGGTGCAGCAAGGCAGAAGAAAGTTGGATCACTGCAATATCCCTTTAATAGAAACTAAAAATAAAACAAATGTTTTTACCACACAATGAATGAACATGAGATGTTCTATCCTAAAACACGGTATGCATTTTAATCAATGATAATTTGAAAAATTGAAGAAAACTTCATATCTTTCCACACTAAAGTTGTAATGAAAAAGCAGTCAGAATAATAATTAACAAAATAAAATGGCTCTACAGCCTTCTGATGATTTCCAAAGATTGATGATTTACATCATCATTGGCAGTTGTCAAGTAGCATATTTATCAAAAACTACATAATAGTAGTTGGAGAAATGTTTATTTTACTAAATTAAAATCTTTACTTTGGTGATACCATTCTCCTTGAGGGCATATACGGGTATAAATTGACCCCAATTAAGTTAGATTTACCTTAATAATTACCATCTTGCACTAAGCTCTTATAGACGAAATACGTTTTGTTTAGTAACTCCACAAATGTCCAAGCCTTCCCTTATTTTCCTTTCATTTTCTTTCCCATACATGCAACCATACCACAAAATTGAAATGAATTAATGAAGCGACTAATCTACTAAACAATTATCAGCATTAATCACCTTAGAATAAATTAATCTTCAAAATTTAACCAAACACCAAATTTAAAAAAAAGGAAACCTACATTTCAAATTCAACAATTGCAAGTTTTGGTTTGTTAATGTTTTTGTAAGAAAATACCCAGACAGTGCCCATCAACCTGTGGCTTGATACTAGAATCATTGTTATACAGAAATGACATCGCTGGTTCTTGCATCATGCCTTAGAAATTACAAGTATAGATAATCGTCCCAAAACCTCAAGCATTATGTGTTTTATTGCTTGTGTAAGTAGTTGCACAATAAATTCAAAATCAGACCAAAATTTGGAAATAAAGTCTTATTACTTGCATTAGACGTTTAGGTGTTTATTTTGTCTGAAACACATACAAAAGGACATAAAATATATCTCCAAATGAAATTTCAAAACAACTCTTAACAAATTATTTTGATGGATGGGGCACTGTTTTTCAGTAGTTAACAAATACTTCACACTATTTCTCAAATAATTTCTCGTCTCCCCAAACAGTATGCCATTTTGGGAAGTGGAAAACTTCATGTTTCCTGAAGACAGAAAAGCTTACCTTACAGGAATTACTGTAAACAAAATGATGTATTTTTATCCTCCCCATAAAAAAGGCTAAATATGTTGCAATATACATGCCAAAAAAATAATACAGAAAATATAGCTCACACAAAAGTTAGTTAATGTTTGTGAAATTAATGTGAATCATTTCTAAGTGTTATTGATCAGACCCCCCAATTTAGTTTGGTATCAATGAATCAAAAAAACTGCACAAATGACTGAACAGAATACAAAGAAACTATGCTACAAAATGTCAATCGCAAGATTTTGATGAAAATGCATGTTTTGTGGGTCCCTGATATCAACAAAGTATTTTTTTGGGGTCTGTTCATCCTTCAATTTCTCTGTCTGATAATAACACTAAAAGCTAAATTGTTCTCCAAAATTGGCATTCTCCAAGTGACCTGGCTGATGTTGTGGTCCCTTGAATCGAATATTGATCATTTAATTGATAAAAGCACTTTACACAAAACTCCAAAGAAATTTTCAAAATTGTCTAAAGATATCTGCAAATTTATTCTTTCTTTCCTCTTTTTTGTCCCCCCTCCTTTTTTCTTCTTCTTTTTTTCATTGTTCAAATAGAGTACATTAATACAAAAAATGGAGCAAAATGTTTGTTTAAAACAGAACAGGCACATTTCTTTAAAAATATATAAAATTTTGAGTGAAATTATGACCATTTGAAAAAATACATAAATAAGATATTCCCACAATTTTTTACTTCAAATAATTTGATGAATTAAAAGCAGAGCTTGTTGAAGTCCCATACCACTGGGAGAGGGTAGGATGACAGACCTCAGCAAAGTTTTTTCCATCTATCTAAATTTAGGTAAGGAATTACTGTGTCATTAAAGCCTAATAGTAAAGGAAAAGGTACCCCTGTGGAATTGCACACAGGCCTATGTGACCCACAGTAGAGGTGAAGGCAGGGCTCCACATATTCATCGCTGTCAGCACAGGAGGTTATTTGGCGAACACAACGCTCCAGCTACCTTTACCCGCAGAAAAGATCCTGGTAGTTGGAAAGGAGGATGAGAAGACCTCAGACTTATGTGGAATGGAAATCACCAGATAAAAATCCCAACGTAGGCCGGGATTCGAACCTGGGTCCTTCAGGTCACCAGTGCCCTACCACTTAGCCACTGCGAAAGCCTAATAGTTCAAACTCAAATTGTAATGCAGATAATTTTGATTCCATGGATAGAGCAAAACCCGGTGGTACAACGTCAGAATAGTGTTTATCGTCAGTATAAACTCAAGGCAAGCTATTTCCCAATTTTTGCAGGCAGATTTGTGGAATATCTTCATTGTTGAATCAGAAGAAACTGTGAAACATGTTTAACAATGGAGTTTTTGCCCAGCAATGATGAATTCCTGTTTGAAGTGTATTTATCATAATGAAAACAAAGAAAGTTTCGTCCTAGAACTGATCTACTTAATGAAAATGATAAAGGGATGATATTTGTAGATTATATACACGATTAATATTTGATTAACCGTCTTGAATAGTCCTAGAAAATATGAACACATTTTCTTACTTGGCTCTACATCCTAATTCTATTTGGAAGAGTAGTAGTATTGTAAAAAAAAATAATTTTTATATTGCCATAAAATGATGATTGATAAAGAAAATTATTTATATTTACTATGATATACTTTCCTAGCAAAATATTTATAATGTAAGAGAAGCTATTAGATGAGAAATGAGGTGAATGATTTTTTGCTTGAAATAGTGAAGTATTCCTTAATAACTTATTTCATCAACTGCCCATAACAGGAACAGGAAATGTAAAATGTTTTTAATAGTGAAGTGAAGTTTAGTGAAGTTTGAATGACTTCAAGTACATTACAATAGAGTCAATTGTAGATACTATTATACAACAAAGGAGAATACACTTTGCATGTGTACAAATATAAAATGATTGGAATCGAGACTTCCAATGCACATTTTATCAGGCACTAAAGATATGTATTTACAAGAAATCATGGCATTCAAAAAGGGCAAAAACAAGCTAAAATGTGTGAGAAGTATGGAGCAAAGAATAAATATTTCAACCAAACACTATTGAAAATAGTACCAACTTCCCAATTACCTACCCTTCTTTGAATAAAATGAGAAATACTTAACTGTAGAATAATGATACAGTGCAACTGGACAAGTTTATTCTCATAAAAAGCAATTCAAGGGATAACACTAGAGTTATCTCGACATCGTACAATAAGTTCTAAAACTTTTTACTATTTGAACCTTTCTGAAACCCTTAGTAATAGTTTCATCAGTGTGGAAACACTACTCGCATGCCTCTTTAATGGCCTCTGTGGAAACCTTAACAGCTATACAAATATAACAAAATTGTCCAGTGACAATTTTAAGATTTTTATAGTTGCAAAACAACACCTACCTCTGGTTTCCGAGTGTCAGATTTTACAGCGGTAGGCTGAATTCCTTTCTTCCCGACGAACTACTGGAGGAAGTTGATAACACTCTGCCAATCAACATGATCATGAATTATACATGAAATTGTATTAGAATTACAATGGAAATGGGGAAAAAAATGAAATGGGAAGTGAAATATGAAAGTATCTGTAGACACACTCACAAAAACATACACAAAATAAAATGATGTGCATTATTATAAAAAAATATTGTAAGCAATTCTAGTTTCTCTCTACCTGGATGCACAAAATATTCTTTTGGAAAGAGGAAACAAAAGGAATAAAGGTAGGAAATTATAAAAGTGAATCATTAACAGAGCATACAAATTAAAATGTGGGCTTCCAGTCAACATACAGTCAATTTACGGGAAAACCATAGCTTCATGAATTTCAAATCCAAAATATGAAAATCCTTCAATGGAATACACAAGTATGTCACATTTTATTTCTGATACCTTGAAAAACTGAAAGTTTTTCTTTCGGCAAATTTACCACTCTTACCTACTGCATTTCCTTTTAGAATTTCAGCAATTGCAAAAGAAAATATGTAGCTAATCAAATCTTCCTTGCAAAAAAAGTTGTCTTAAAAATCTAAAACAGCAAGACCTAAGGCAAAGATTATCACAGAATTAGTATAATAAACTGCATATAAAACATTCATACCATTTGCTAAAGCATTTGGTTTGACAAAAGGGATACTAGAAGGACTTGAACGAACAGAACTTCTTGAACTCTTGGCTCGTCCATCCAATGAAGAATGATCAGAATGATCCGATAAATAACCCTGCTGCTGCTCTGGAATTATTTGTTTGATGGGTGAAAGCGAATCTTCTCCTCGCAGCAAATTAATTCCTTGAAAAATTACATCAAATTATTATCTGACATATCAGCATTTGTTATATAAAAAATTTAATTTGCTTACCATTCCTACTGTTGGTTCGTATTGGTGTTGATGTTATTTGTTTTAAACCTGTTAACCACAATTAAGTAATTAGCTTTACAAACACCAAGGAGAAGATACAATAATATTTCTCACTCTTTATATTTTAAAAAACGTGCTTACTTTCTTCTTGGAGTCTAGCAATTGTTTGAACATCTCCTGCATTCATTAGTCGAGTAGTAGAAGAGAAGCTGCTGTCCGATGCACTACTCAATTGGTCATCATCAGCACCACTATCACAAGAAGCAGCATGCCCACGATTGTCAGAATGTGAGTAAGTGCAGTTTAAACCAGCTTGTCTCGTCCTTGTTGTATTTAGTGTAGTTACTGGACTACTTGTCCCTTTTAAGAAAGTGGCATTCAAGCATGAATCGGAGGTTTTCCTTGAATTAGTACTTTGGTCAGAATCGGAAGACTTCAAATCACTATTTTCTTCATCTAATTTTACAAAAGTTGTATTCAGTGAAGTATGTGGCACAATCTACAAGAAGATGAGCATATGGCAATAATATGATGACATTCATATCTGTCATGCAACTACATTCTTTCAAGTACTTACAACTGATTTACTCTCTGATGCAACTTTCAAAAAAGTTGCATTTAAGTTTGAATCTTCTTTGCAGAGGGTAGCATTGAAATGGGTGTTGCTAAGAGAAGGAAGAGTATAATCGTAATTCATGCTTATGTCATCTATCATCTCTGTTATCTGCTTTGACATAAGTTTCTTCCATGGTGTTTCTATTACTTGACGATTCAATATTGATCTTTCAGACATTCCTTCCAAACTTGGACGAGTTAAACGTTTTTTGGGCCTTGTAAATGTACGTGTGTCAATAAAACTTTTACGAGTGCCTGAAAGAAAAGAAATCATAATTATTGTGACTATAAGAACAAGAAATGCATGCAAAACATATCATGCACCCACAATAAAATAATTATTAGTTTTTTTTCTTTAGTAAATACACACACACATAGCAGTTAAACTCACAAATAACTACACCATTAATTGTTCCTTTTAAATTGCAAGCAAGTTTTCTTAAAATAAAACAGATAAAATGGTTAATGAAAAGAGTCCAGTTCACACTTAGAAAAGAACGATCACTGGTAGGGACGGAGATGGGAATGTGGCTGAAATGTAGTATACAGTACAATCTAAGGAAGTCGTTTAAACCGGCACTTCGCGCCATTCTGGCATTAACTAGGCAGTTAGAATTCTGGAGGCTTTATTGAAAAGTGATGTCTTATGAAAGTGAATTGGTAATTATGCGTTGGATAGACTCCAGGATGTTTATCCTGGGGACAAAGCATATGAAGGGCAAACCATGAAAATCGCATATCCGTAAGTTTTATTCAATTCTATTAGAGCACATACAGTAATTAGGGCTTACGCCCCGCCGCCACGCTTCTCTAAGGATGAACTGTATACTAAATTTTAACTGGGAATGCAAGTTTCATGTTTCGGCAGTGAAATTACTATAAACCCTCATTTATTTCGGTAATAGGATCTTTTGTGACACCTGGAAAACTCTTAAGTTTGTGATTCTGAACTGCAATGGAACATCTACAATGGCATATATTCCACTCCCTTCACACCACCTCAGAATTTTACATCCAATTACTTTTAGGAGGCAGTCACAGTGGAGCCCATTTTGACCGAAATTTCAGGCAGTGTTTGAACGAATCCGGCACATGGGACAAAAACACCCTAGCAGACACTTGACGCTTCGAAATATATCTCCAAGTTGAGGCTCTAATCACATGGTTATCATAACATATCAAGTCTCTGAACCTCTTAATTACTCATACATTTTATGCTAAAATACTTATTGTGTATTCCCCTCAAATCATCTAACTTCCCCATTTTTCCTCCATTGTGATTTTCCTCTTCACCTGAATAGCACTTGGTTTAAAAAACTCCCTCAAGTTCTATCAGACTTCCCTAATCAACCAACAGAATAAGTAAGAAAGTTTATAATACTAAATGCCAAAATAACTTTATATGAAAATGAATGATTGCAAAAGCACATATATTGCAAACGGAGTTATTCAATTCTTCACTGCAGATTAACACATTTGGTTAAATACATTTACAAATTTCATTACAACGTATCTTAATTGAGGCCAAAAAACCAACCCACTCAATGCCAGACCAAGTAGACTTTCTCTCTTCATAGCACATCTGGACTTTAATCTCACTCAATATTTGAAAGAACTGCTGTTAAATAGCTATTTTGTGATCCACTTTCTCACTTCTTTCCTTCTTTTTCCTTTTCAAACTAATAGAATGTTCTTATCATGGCTAAAGATATTTTTTGTTGGATTCTTGCTTAATTTTTGGTGTTTATTTCACTATCACCCATAATTTCACTAATATTAACATCTTAAATTATAAAACTTTATCATCACAATGCTCTGCCCTTTGGTTTAGAATCTATACAAGCACATATAAAGCAACAGCTGACATTTCAAACCTGATTTGCATAGGTACTGCTGAATTACAAGTGTTAATTACAGCAATTCACACAACTTTACCTAACTGGCTTAAGAAAGCTGAGAATGTGCCAAAATAACTATAAATTTTACAGTCCTAACCTCAGAAAAAATGACATATTGATTACAATAGAAATAAATATAACTGTCACAAGATTAAATTATATTTTTCCTACACCTTTCACTCTCACTCAATTATTTACCTTGCTCAATTTCTTCAATTCTATCTATTAAGTGTCTTCGTATACTCTGCATTTCATAATCATTTTGATTGTCAACATCTTGACGTATCCAAACACGTGTATTTTTTGGAAGGTGGTTATCATTTTTTGGCTTGTACAACCTAGGAAATGAATAAACAATGAAGATTATTCAGAGCTTGCATGCCACAAGCTTGAATGAATTTAAATGCCACTAGTAACACAACATTAGTGATCTTCAAACTGACATTTAAGAAAGTACAATGGAACAGTGATTAAAAATTATATGAAAGGGAAACGTGTCTACTTCGAAATTCGTCTCTATAACCTTACCAAATTTCTTCATTCTGACAATTTTCCCAGTTCACTTCGTCTGGTTTCAGAAATTCGTCTTCCCAATTGTGGTTACTCTGATCCAGTCGGTTTTTATAATATTCAAGGTCTGACAGGGAAGACAAAATATTTGGTTTAACCTCCAGATCAAATCCATTTCTCGAAAATTGTTGTGAACGAAGTTGCTCGTTTTGAAGTTCCAGTTTCCTGACTTTGTCTTGCAACCTGCGAAGTTCGTCATGAGGATCCAACGAACTTTCCATATCTACAAAGAAACACTTCTGAATTCGTGAACATGAATCACAGTGCAATACACTTATTCTTGAACTGCCTTTAACTATCAACCATTTTACTTTCCAATATTCCGAACCAAGCACTTGCCGCCAAGTGCCAACTACATGATACGGACGGAACTTGCCAAAATCTACCACCACTGTTTTTCTCCCTTCTTGCAGCCAGTGTCAGTTTCAGGCCAAAGTGTAACGTACACAATGTTGCCAAAACGTTTGATGTCCTTGAGTCAAAATATTAGATCCGATTCATTGTATGGTTTTCACACGGTGTGGATCAGTTATTGTACTTCTTACACCGTGCTTACACCACGGTGTAAGAGAACCGTCAGGAGACTCAACTCAGATGGTGGGGATATATATGAAAAGCATATTAGCTAATCGGCCACACTTGTGCTTTAGCGACATCACGCGGCGGATGAAGGAACCTATCATTGGAGTTTTCCGGAAGCACTTACGTCAAGCTATATGGAAATAAACTAGTGGTGCTACGAAATAGCACAGACTTTCTCGTACTAAAGCAGTAAATAGTCTCGTAGTAAAGTTTTCTAATTTCCTTGGTGTGAGCTACTTTTATGATATCCCCCTTCCTCTTGTCAGCTACCATTTATTGCCACTTTATACATTTTTTTAAAAAGTTTATTCAATTTTTCGATTTCTTTATAGTAGATTTGAATTATTACTTTTAGAATATTAAAGAAGAGTAAAATTTCGTCATACTTGGCAATTTTTATTGACAAATTTGTTGTTTGCCGATTACAGAATGTTCTTTGCAAAAAAGAAGCAATAAATAGTATGATTTAAGAAGTTTCAAATTGTGTTTTGTTGGGAAGGGATTCTGGAACTCAAGAAAACGTGCGTAGATTATCTTCTCCCTCATACGTCACATACAGTTTTTACTGTTTTTTGACTAAATAAATCTAAATTTAAACTAGTTTTGACAGAAAACGATTGCGTTTTTGAGAAGCTTTATTTGGCATTAATATAATAATGTAAAAATATCGCCGCTAATGTCATCGCAAAAAATTTCATTTCAAGGGAAAATCTCTATCTTTAATTTTGTAGTTGTAGGAGGTCCCCGAAAATATTAACAACGTGAGACACAGGTCAAAAAAATACATTTTCCTTACTTTTGAAAAAAAATAGAGCAATATGGCGCCATCTTAGAGAGTGCATTTAGCACAATTCCTACCAAAGGATTAAAGAAATTATTAGAAGTCGTTTTTGAGAAAATCTTGTTTTTGTATTTTTTTTAAATTGCACAAATTGCACGCAATATTGTGGGAAAACGATTAAAAGTTTTTAAAAATGTACACGACCTTAATGAAAGAACAAATTATGAACAACAAATTTCATTTTAAGGAAAAATCTCTATCTTTAATTTTGTAGTTGTAGGAGGATCCAGAAAAAATTCACACTTTTGAAATTTCGAAAATTTAGGTTTAAAATCGGACCTATGCCACCTTTGTAAGTGTAAAACATTCACAACACTATTTGAAAAACATTCATTAATTTTGGGGGTTCTTTACACGAAGCCTCTAGTACATTTTCAAAATTTACTCAGAAATGGCTCTAAATTTTTATTTAAATTTCTTGTAAGAATGGTCATGAAAAAATAGTAATTTTCGTTTTTCGAGTTATAGAAAACGTATGTGCATCGGTAAACGAATTGCAAGTATGATGTTTCTTCATTGGAAACAAAATAACAATTCGTCCTTACCTTTACTCTTACCATTATACGCAAAAGAAGAGTTCAACAAAACGTGCGCACAGTGAAGCTACATTTACTTCCAGAAGCAAAGCAAAGGGCAATCTCAGCATTTGCTCAATTAATAAGAGAAACTGGACAAAACCTGATCGAGGTGAGGTTGCTTTTGCGATTGTCTATGTAGTAATCATAGACTGATGGATATGAATTTGTCGAAGGATATTTTTTTTATTTAAGGTACTAAGACAATACATCCAGAAAGCTATGGAGGATAAAGGCCTTAAACCAGGAGATTGGGAGGATCGAGAGTTGTGGAGGATGAAAACGACACGCTCCTAAGGGGAAATAGTCTTAAAATATTAGTCTTTAGTCTAAGGGGAAATAGTATTAAAATATTTATATTGCTACAATGAGGGGGGGACCTTCTCTTGGCTCGTCACAGTATATACAAATGACTGAAGTATATTATAATACAGATTATGCTACATTTGTGGTAACAATGGTATAGATGAGATTGCGAAGGCATAGTACACTCGCGTGCATGGTTACTGGCGGGCATAATTACACGGTGTAAGGTATATTTCTTACACAGTGATGATTATCAATATCAAATCGAGAAGTCTATATCTACAGATGACGCTTGTTTTGTGGTATCCATAATGTAAGAAGTCTTACACCATGGTTTAGCCGAGATCACTAAGGAATAGTTCACTTGCTATGTAAGTAAACTTACGCCATGGTTATGTCTAGAGCGCCTGTCATGCGATGCGACGTCACGCTTTATATAGCGACATCTCATGGCCCGTCTTCACTATGGAACAGGTCACGGTATTTAGCTTCTTTCACAGTCGAGTCGTTACATGTCGCATGATCGCGACCGTACCAAGCAGTGCGATGTGTCTAGCGACACAACCGAGAAAGACGTGAAATGCCGTGAAGTATTGCATCGTGAAGACGGGCCTTGAAAGACAGCTATATAAAAAACGCACTATACTGAGTCAAATACGAATTACTACAAAGAGCTGGGTATTTCCAAAATAAAACAGAGCTAATGCATGGTTCATGGTGTAATGGTTAGCGTGTCGGACTGTTATAAAATGCGAAAAAATCCTTACGCCTTCCTTCGAAAGGAAGTAAATACGGCTATCCCATGTTAGTAGATTTGCTTGCATGTAAAAGGTAAAGCTTAAATGACGCCTCTGAACTAAATTCAAATCGCATGTTTCTCGCCCAAGGAATACCTCCTTTCTCTGCTAGTTGGTGAAAGGAGCGTAGCGAAATGTTCGTGGTCAGACGGAAGAGCAGGCCTAATGGCCCGAGTCTCGCCACGTAAAATAAAGCATCAATTAAATTCTAATGTAGAAAATGGTTATAAATAAAACTTAACCGAATTATTGGCTTATTAATAATTAACAATGGAACGTATTAGTAAACAAAGTTAATAAAAAATCAAAACTCCCAGAAAACAAGGCATTAACTTTCTTGAAATTTTTTACCCAAATTATTTTAAAATAATCAGTAAATGTGAACGAACTATAATACTTTGGCTTGTTGGCATTTGTCTATCCGGCGCCAGTAGGTGAACACCGGAAGTCGACAAGAGTTGCGACAAAATAATTATTTTCCCGTAAGGAGGCCAACGGCACGAAGCTCACCTTCGCTCACCAGCCATCGATGAGAAGGGTTTTGTCTTCTCTTAGACTCCCACGAACCTTTTCCGCTTTTTGGAAGACGCACGGCTCCGGCCGCTACCACCTCGAAGGACGCCACAGAAATTGAAGAATATATGAAAACGACTCACGGCGAAGTAATTATGGCAACTGCTGAAGCCAGGCGCTTCACATTTCTGAACGACAGCCGCACGACTCCTCCCCCGCCAAGAGTCACAAAAAATTCCTCCTACCGAAGACACAAATTCTCCCCCTATCATCCCACCTAAAACCATTTGACTTGTGTGACAGGTCGCGAAATAATTATTTATTTCAATGCCCAAATTCCGCCCCTTGACGAGGTACTTTGAAAGGGAGCTGTCCCGTTGCAAACCGCCCCCACCCCAACCCCTGTGTCGCCAAGGATGCGCCGTTGTCTGGGCAGCCGAGCTAACCCTGGCCCACCTCAAAGGGCGTGAAGCACCCCCACCTTGTGAGCGGCACTCTTTACGCTAGGGCACAATTGAATTTATTGCTTTTAACTGAGGTGATTCCCCTTGCTCTTCCTCTGATACCATTTTATCTTCACCTATTTTAAGAAGCGTCTTTGAAATTTTTTAAAGCTTCTGCAGCTCTTTCCACAACTGTTCTTACTGCACACAGTGGGTCATTATTTGATTTCTCCTGCCGGAAATTCTCTCTCTCAGATTGCAGCATATTTCTTGCGACTGACATAGCAAGGAAACACTTCGACCAAAATTATTTTTTTGGGAGAATGTTTTCTGGGGCGTCCACTCTTATTCTCACAACCTTTCGACACTTTACGCACAAATATAATACACATCACAAATTACCTGACCCTAATAGCACTACTCACTAAAAATCTGCTCCAAACAGCAAAAAAAGGGTTCAAAGCACAAGAGCACATTACTCTACAGCATAGCTCCTCGTCGGGAAGCGTGCAAACGTTGACAGGAAGGTGCCAAAATGGTCCCCTAAAACCTTTCATTCCCCCTCGCCGGCAGCCAGGGCGAATTCTCCCGGCAAACGCGGTTCAATTTACATTCTGCTGTGGCAAAGCCTTTGTTATTGAAGATTTGGTGCCCTGGCAACTACGCAGCGACCTACCTCCCTAGAAGCAGCCATCATTGGTTGGGCGCTGCCCCCTCCACAGCTGTGCTCAGAGAAGTCGGTTCTAATTTTAATAGCACCATGGTAACCACTCAAATTCGCCAGATGCACAGTGATTGAGATTATAGTACGACCCATGACTGTAACAGCTCCCTCCAACACATGTGACAAACTTAACCAGATATCCAAAGTCCCACAATCAAAATGACTATACTTCACTTACATTGCCAATCACGTCAACATTGCTACAGAAATGTCGCAAAACAAATTCGTGATCAAGGTACTTCCACCCAAATACTATATAAATGGTATATGAAAGACGAGAAAATAACTCACGTAACGGACATATTAGAGCTCTGAATACAGGAAGATCCGCCAACCCGTTTCAGAAAAGTGAGCGTCCAACCCACTCGCATTCATTGCGGTCGCGCGCTATCATTGAGATTATTTTAACAGAAGGTATTTCCGTTTATGGTTGTAAAACTGTATTTATGCTCAAGTTACCACATTACGAAGCAGGAAAGTAACGGAACAAAATAAAAAATCGAGGAAAGGTCTTACAGGGTTCTCTGCGTTCTTTCTACATGCCGTTCGAACTTTGCAATGTTGCTTAATTTATTTAAATCATTATATTACCGGGTAGGCGACACTTCCCTCCACTGCCTGGAGGGACTAGAACTCTCGAGTTCTAGTCATGCGGGAACCCAGGATCCGTACACACAGGTATTCTAATGGGTCAAACCCACCCGCATTCATAAGGGTACCCGTAAGATTGGGTTTTTGATGGACACAGAGATTCCGTTTAAGATTGTAGTTATCTATTTTTGGAGAAGTTACCACAGAATACGCGAAACAGGAAAGTAGCGGAATGAGCTCGCCTCTTTCATCCTTTGCATCCATTTCTTTCTGTCGTCCTTTTCATCGCTTCGTTATTACGGCCGACCCGTATGATATCTGGATAATACAAGTACCGGTATCATACGGGTATTCTCATGAATACGCGTGGGTTGGACCCGCACTTTTCTGAGACAGGCGGGCGGGTGGACGGATTTTCGGGTTTCAGAGCTCTAACGTGGACCCCTCCACACTGCACTGACGCCAAGTCACTTTGTTTCATTTAAAGTTGGACTGAGAGCGTTCTAAGCATCAGCTGTCATACATTTCTGGAGGTTATACGACAAATATTCGCATTTTAAAAGAACAAATTATTTTTGGTTGTCGCATCAAGTCTTACAATTGTCACCAGCCGCCTCTAGTTTGCAATGTACATTTGACATCTGCGCTCTGGGGGTAACATCACAAAGTTATAAGAAACTATTAAGACAATTTCCGTTCTCAAAATAACTAAAATTTTAGTTACTTAATACAAATTAGGAGACAAGTGTAAAAAGGCTTTCCTTTTGAAGAATTAATTTATCTAGAAGTCAATAAAATACAAAACATTTTAAAAAAATGGTGTTCTCTTGGCCTACGCGGATGATATAATGATCGTCGGGAGAATCTGGGCCATTGCAGGACAGCGGCAAATGGAGAATTCGTCACAACATATATATATATATATATATATATATATATATATATATATATATATATATATATATACATAAAGTTATACAATAGCAACGATATTGTAAAAGTCAAATATTAGTCAGTCAAAAGTCAACGATATTGTAGAAGAAATCAAACTGGCTACACCACGGTCGCTTGGCCATACCTGTCGCTTGCCTGAATCAATTGTGTGTAAAGAATTGACTTTTACGCGACCTGTTGGCGCCCGCAGAGTCGGAAGACCACCCGTAAGATGGCTGGACGGTGTTGAAGACCTGAAATGCATAGGGTGAAAAAGGCGAAAGGAACGAAAACGAGATACATGGAAGGAAATCCTGAAGGAAGCTCAAGCTCACTTATGGACTGTTGCGCCCTAAGAAGAAACAAATTACTCATTTATACAATAAAAAATCTGCTGAACAAACATTTTTACTATAAACCAACAGGGCCATATCTTGATAAATAAATAGAGATATTGTCAGGTATCAATATTTTTAATCCACTAATGATCATTTCGATCGCGTAGCGATCATCCTCAGAGCTTGCAGCTTCTGGGCCGAAAACTAAGTTCTAAGGATTTGGAAACAAAGGTTGTTGCTGAATTGCATGCTTCCATGCAGAAGAAATAAATTCAATATAATGATGTTTCAGTTCAAATGAATAAACAATTTCGGTAACAAACCAAGATAAAAATAATCACATTTGCAATAAAGTTTTGATTCCATTACAGCATTTTTTAATTCATAGATTTGGCTAGAATATTTACACTGAATACATTTTATGGAATATGTACAATAAATTAGTTTTAAACAAATTTGATTGAGAAAATTCAACAAATCAATGATGTGCTGATTTCTTAATGAACAAAAATTATCATTAAATAATTTAATCATTTCTACTCAGGTAAAATAATAAATACAGAAAACAAATAGCGTATATCTTAACTTTCTCCAACAAACCATAAAATGTTTCCAAGGCTTCTCTTAACAAGGTAATCATCAATCAATTGTTCTCCACTTCACGAATCCCAGATCTCGTTATCTGTAAAAGTAGAAAATGAAAAGAATATATTCCTGTAGTGTGCGGGTTCTGTGTCACACATCTAGAGCCCAGATTTATAACCAGTAAAGCTGTCTAGAATATGAAATGGGAAGTGTTTAAAATATAGTACGTAATACAGGACACATATGATTCAATGCCATTTGAAATTTAAATGAAACAAGTATACTGTTTCAAAAAGTAATGCAAAACTCTTTTAAAATGTTGACTGTGATATCATAGCATTACATGTTTGAAAAAACAAGAAATACGGATTTGGAAAACAATCTTATTTTCGTGAAGTTGCTTAGAATTAATTAGTTTTTGTAACATTGAATGTTGAATTACTTAACATTGCCCTAGTAATGATTTATGAGGTGGAATATCGGGAGAAATAAAGAATAACATTTAAGTAAGAAATTTCTTTTACAAGGACTGTCTGATGCTGCCTAGGTGGGAGTCTGAGAAAAAGGGCCCAGTTGTGCGTCAGTCCGTAAGTTTGTCAGTCTTTGGAAAGCTTGAGGGGATTTAAGTGAAATGAGGATATTACGTATGTATTGTAATGAGATCGCTCGATCGGGATGTCGGGCGCCAGGTTCAGTTCCTGTAACGAATGGATGGGAGTGAAGGGAGGTCATAAATCAGTCCATTGAATCGTATCTAACAAAACTGAATTTATTCTTGGCAACATCAGCTGCCAGAGAAGTTACAGGTCACAAGAGAGCGACACAGATTACTTGCTAACCTTACGTTACGAGTTCCTAATCTTAACAGTTAATGAAAAAAATTCTTAACTCTATCATTAATGACTTACTGCTAACAATTCATGCATATTTTAACTACGATACACAAGGCCTGAGCGCGGCCACACTTAGTCTCTCGCCAAAATATCCGGCGAGGGAGCCCCGCGTTATAACTACGGGAGATAGTTCGACTCCGGTTAAATACCGGATTAATCACACTGGCTGGCGGTGGCTCCGCAGACCGGCCGGATGGTGGTCCTCATTCGAAGACGGTGGGCGGTCTCAGGTCACCGACCTCTCCCTGGGTGTTCCTCCTCAGCTGACAGCGTGGCGTGGCGACGGAGTCGTCAAATCGTACGGACTCAGTCAGTTGAGGACACACGGGTGCTGCCTGTGGTTTAGTGCGGGCTTGAATGGGCCCGATATGGCACTAGGCGGCGGATGCAGATCAACTATGCGATTACGCGGGAACTCGCCATCTCCCGCCCAAGTTTCCTCCGCGGTAATTCTAATGTGAATGATGTTCTCCGCAATAGTGACTTTAGGCGATAATTTAAGAGAGAATTAAAGTGCTTTATTCGAGAGTTGAATTACAAGAGCGTAATTCGCGAGTCTCGAATTAAAAGTGCTTCATTCGAGGTCCCGAATTATAAGTGCTTATTCGAGAGTCCGAAATTATAAGTGCTTATTCGAGAGTCCGAATTATAAGTGCTTATTCAGAGTCCGAATTATAAGTGCTATTCGAGGAGCTGCATTCAAAGAGTGTAAGTTTCTCTGCACTCTCGGTCCAAGGTACTCCGTTTCCCCTCCCAAAAACGGTTTCCCCGAACCGCAGAATCTTGCCCCTTCCCTCACGGATGAGACGTCCCATAGGCCTAAACCTATGCGTGTTAATTTTGAAAGTTCAGGGATCTCTCTTTCTACCTCGAGCCCCTCTCTCTCACCCTAGTGAATGACAGGAGCTTCCTCTCGCAGCTGTCCGAACACTTGTTCGAGCGTTTTTTTCTGGGCCATAAATTTGTCAGCGGAGGCTGATCGGCAGGGGCGCGTATTGTTTCTCTTGAGTGCCCGGTGGCTCTGCGAAGGGTGGCAGCGCGAGGTGTATATGACGGGCCATAAATGTGTCCGCTACTAAGCGACACCATCCTCAGCGGTCGGTCGGGCAGCTGTCAATGTGCAGGCGCGGCCGGGCGGTCGTTAGGGTTCTTCGCAACAAAAGCTCAGTCCCGCGACCTACTTAACTGTGATGGAAGCTATTTCGATATCAAATTATTATAATATTATTTGGTGACGCTACAGTATCTGGCTTGAATTCTTTCTGGAAAGCATTTTTGGAGTTCCTTAATCAAGTCTTCTCCGTCGAGAATGTCAACCGTCAAAATGTACAGTCCCTGCACGTTGTGTAGATCTGTGTAACGGAGTTTCGATTAGGATATACTCGGTTTTCCTGGGTAGGTGTTAAGTCACATCCATCGGGGATGTTGGTGCAGGTTGTTCCTTGTTGGGAGAAGGGGTTACTGCTGTAATTGCGAGGATGTTTAGGAGCGGAGAAATATTTCCTAAATACTTTGTCAGGGAGAAGTGAAGGATAGTGCAACGTACTAGCAAATGAATCTCGTGAAAGCTATTTGGGGTCGCGTGGTAAGGGATCAGTAACAGGAAATCGCCTCGCCACAGGAGGGAGAGAAGGGTTTTTCCTAAAGCCACCGCAGCAAAGGGAGACAACAGGCTTTTGGGGGTCTCGGTCTTAAGGAACGGCTCTGGCCCTCCGGCCTGGACGAACGGGCTCTCCGGCCCAACTCTGGGCAGCAGTGCGCTGTGGGGGCGGCGTGCCACCGATAGTGTCAGCGTGAGCCTCGAGTATTAAGGGAGTGCAGAGTCAGTGGGAGAACTCGTGCAGTTGCACAAAACTTGGCGCCACGACGGTGCACTGGCGAGCAGGGTTCGCGAGGCAAGTCACGTGTTGACGAGCCTGTGGACGAGTGTGCCCTTGGGTGACTGCGGGCACGTGGGAGCGATGCTGTGTGCGTGTTCCGAGGAGAGGTGTGGTTGAGAGGCACGAGTCGCGGCCGATTCTCAATCGGGTAAGAGCGCTCCTGCGATAGAGGCAAACCATCAGTTGGTACGCCGATACGGACTTTGAGTTCCAGTGTAACATCCGGTCACGGAAGGTTGGCTTTGTGCGCACTTCGGATATAGGAGTGGCAAGAGGCACTATTGAAACCGATCATCAATCGGATTGGGATCGCTCCCGCGATCAGGGGATAGCAGGTCTATCAGAGCTAGGGTGTAAAGTGTAAATTCATTGTAAATATTTGTTTTCTTTGTAAATAAATATTTGTTATATGAAAGGACTGTCTTGTGTTCGCTGCGAGTATCCATGACGTCGCAATAGGAATCCGTAAATACGTAGGATACGTGGGGGTGTATCGTTTCACAGGTCAACACTTGAACATTCAGAATACTTTCTATACAAAAACTGGAAGACTGTTTCAAAATGTTTATAACAAGTTTCTGCACTTCATACAGATTCCATTACAGTCAAAATCCTGTTTCACTGTTTCTAACGTTTCTCATTTTTTCATACATCATTGACTCACGCCGAATTTTATATCCCTCGTCATTTATCAACAATCAACCGTTGCTATCGTGGAATGAGGCGGTTCGTCTGACACGACCGGTTTTTGTCCCCCAGGCTGGCGTTGTTGTACAGCCGCAGCAGCAGTCCCTCCCATATTGTTCTTGGCCCCATCCACTTCGAAGTCTCCATTAGAAGGCTCGGCCGAGGCCGCGACTCCGCTTCCGTATGATGGTTTAGTCCCTCAAACACTCGCCAAACGTACGCGAACGTTTTAGCAGTTTAAGTTTCCTCTTCAATTTCTGGCGACGCCGCTTCTGGGCCGCGGTTTTTGTAACCCGTTTGTTTCGTAACCTCCCTAAACGGTTCGCTGTCACTTGCTCACGCGCGCCAGTTGACCTCCACCATGCCATCGATCGAAAACTTCTAGGAACTCAGCGCAATTCACTTACAATGGCCATTTGACTCTCCATTCCCCTCATTTTAATTCACTTGCAGATTAGCTGATGCCTCGCTACAAATTTCGAATTTGAGGTCGAGACTTCGGCCTTCTGATTAACATCAGACTGTGAGTCTTTGCAACGCATAATTACCACTGTATATTATGGGCAATTCCTTTAAAAGCAGTTGGCTCTCATCTATTTCCAGGCTGAGGGCGCAGCTCGACTCCTCTGGTCTCGCGTTAATATAAATCAGTGAGTCTGGGCGAAGCATCATTTCGTCTATTTGTAAGTCAAGAAAGGGCAAAAGTAATGATCCGAACCCCACGAATATGACACCATGAGGCTAACACGTACGTTATGCCACGAGGTAACCTACACATTTCTTGCCTCGAAACAGTGCGTCTGGTGGTACTTTGAACGGCAGGGACGGTAACTACAATTTGGCTGTGATTTAGAATTATGCGTACCAGTACAAGTTACAGTTAAGGCGAACCATAGACCGAATCTTAGGTTATTTTTCGTGCCGAAACGGCCGCACTAGCTTTACAGGATAATGTGCTTACGCACTATGTATGTCTGCAAGAGTTCCGACGTCGCCTAGATTTGGCCATTGTATAGCCGTTACTAGCTGTCACGTGAGTGTTTTTTCTGTGGTATGCTGGAGCTCTCTGATCCAGCCCTTGGACACTGTTCACACGCTCATCTTGAATTACGATTTCCTTTAGTGGGTGGCTGTTCAGCCCCTCGGGCTGCGCAATGATCAAACTTCGTAACCCATGACGCTTCAACAGTCCTTGAAACATGCTGGAATACTCATTCGGAACTTTCGTCTTTCATTACAGCACTTAAAATTAAACTCCATATTCCTAATAATACGCAATACGGGGGGTTTCGAACCAGATGATTTTTTTCATTCAAATAAAGTCTATTATTTCTGCGGCTAGGTATCCTCCACGATCATAAAAATAAATGGAAGACAATTTCATCGAAATCATTTTGAAAAAAATCTTCACCCTTATTTTCCCTGAACTGTGGCTCACACGGAGATATGGGACTCCGTGCTCACGGTGGTGTCGCGGTACTTATCCTGACTCCCTGTTCTCTGAGGAACAAAACGTTCGAATTGACTTTCCAAATGAACGAGTTCGGATACACCTACCGTCCTTTTCTCTAACGGTGTGAAGTATATCCATTCCTCCTGGCCAAGTCATCACAACAAGAACTTGAAGATGTGTTTTG